ATGTATATTAAGTCCCTGTCAAAACGGTGGTCCCTAAGTGGTATTTTATATACGCCTGGCAATCTTTCATCCTCAGATTTGTCCTTTCCATTGCGCAGCATATCAAATATAGAAGGGCATCTTCTGTAGGATAGTGTTATACTACGTTGTCGAGCGATTTTACTATATAAAGATTTTAATACTGGGTTGTAAGAAACAGGTACCCTCCGTTTATCCACAATCCGGTTGCCATTTACCGAATTATCCCTTTCAGAAGGGTGCACCATTCCACTGAACTTTCGTGACATTCTTTGTACGATGCTGTGGTAGCCATGATGCTTAGCCACTTCACACAGGAATTGTAGTTCGTGTTTCAAAGCCTCTGGCGTAGATGAGTGTGAGTAGGCTCTTTTAACGAGGGCTCTAAACGCCGCCATCTTATATTGGATATGGTCACAAGAGTCCTCCGTAATATATGTCGGATGGTCTGATGGTTTGCGATACACAGAGGTTTGTATTATCCGTGATGCCGTTCTATCATTCGATGTTTTGAAAAATTCTTTCGAAACGAATGGTTGATTTGACGGTTTTACTTGAAGATGGACCCAGGAGGGGTCCGAAAATGTTAGAATTGTTAAATTTATTCACATCGGTTAAAGGTTTCGGAGGTACGTAATACTTAGTATTAATAATTAAATTAGTGATTATAGCCTGATTACTTAAGGCGATCATTTTGGTTATGTTTCTAAGGTATCATACTTTATTGTGTTTTGTGTACATCTAAGATAAAATGGTAATAATTTGAAAGTGATTGATCTATGTTTGCTTGACAGCAGTTTCTATACCTGTAAGGTTTACAGGCACATTTTGGGGGGATATTTTAGTATTCTCAAATTAATTGTCAATCCTTTTAAAATAATTTTCAATTATCTTCTGAGCATGGTGCTTGGTGAATTTTCACTAAATTTAGTGAGAGGTACAGCAGTTTTGGTGGGAAAGTTTGGAAAACTGATTTTTTTTATTTATGTATTAAAGTAAAGCATCATTAGATTGAAATTTAAGGGATAAAAATTTTGACGTCAAGTTAGTTTTGAGTTAATACTCAATTTTCTCAAATTTTTTTGTGGCTGTATATTTTTTATTATCAAGACATTTTTCAAAAATCTGTTCACAGAATGATTATCAAATTGTATACAGTTTATGACACTTTTGAGTGCATTGTCTAGGTGCTCTTGCATCCCAATTAGAATATCAGTAACATACTGTGTCAATAAAAGGATGTCAGCACAAGTTTGTAATAGTGTGTTGTTGTTTGACTTGAAGCTATATTATATGTTTATCTTAATCATCTGTATTTACACAAAATATAAGAGAAAAAGAAGATAACAGACCTAACAAATTTGTCTGCAACTTGGCAAACAGTGCCAGTAATACCTGAGAGCTGACTAGTGATGGATTACTTTGTGTAGAACTAGAAAACAGATTATCAAGATTGTACTGTGCTTTTAAAAGTTTTGGAGTCTCTTACTTCTGAGTTATTTATTATATACATTGTTTTAAACAATAAAACTGATAAAACTCTCTTAATTATAAATGTAAATAATTTCAGGGTTGCACTTTGATTTAAATTTATCTCAGGTTATTTTTATATAGGGAAATATATACATATATCATATTTTCCTATATGAAAAATAACCTGAGATAAGTTTTGAAAATGAGAATCCTGTTAGTGAATGTATTTGCTTTGCTAATTTTTATCAAATTTGTGTGTGTATAAATTTAATATAAAAAATTAGCTAAGCAAATAAAACATTTACTAAAACTGGTTTATAGAAGGATCCAAAAAATATTTTGAATGAAGTAAAGTCTCACTTGTTATTTAACTGTACAAGAATAATTTTTTTTATTTTATAAGCATTTAACAATATTTTTCATATTTAATATTTTGAAATTAGTATTTAGTTGACAGGTTTTATAATAAAATGTCAAATATTTAAAAAGACTTAAATGTAAATGCTTAATGGAATTAAGGAAAAATTTGCATATCACTAATACTTATTCGTTTGTGAGCCTTTTTTTTTTCTAAACTTTCTTACCGTATAATCTGATAAAACCTTCTCTCATAAATACTTGAAAAATATAAAAAATACTGCTTTATCAGATTTAAAATACTTAAAACATGGGATCAAAATAAATTTTTAGTTACTTCTGGATTTCTTAGGTACCTCTTCAGAAATTATAAACAGAATTCTAACTTAAATCATATAGCCAATTATAAAATGTCTTAGTAAAGCAAATGTTATGTAACAAACTTACAAATGTTTTTGAATCTGTGTTTGTCTTCAGACAAGTTAATTTGAACATAAAAATTACAACAACTATCATCTTCGTAAGCAACTGAATAAATTGGTTATGCAAAAAAGCAAATTCAAAAAATAACAAAATAACGTGGAGAATTTTTATATTTAAAGAAGAAATATCATATGCAATTAATCATTGCTTGCAACATGGGCATCAGCAGAACATTTTCCAGTGGGGAGCAAAACTTGGAGACAAATGAATAATTGATATAAGTAATTTTTTGAGGTTTTTTTTCTCACAAGTAGATTATAGAATATAGTCTCATTGGACAAGGGTGTAAGGTTACATATCTCAATCAATTTTATGATTATAATTTGTGGAATTTTTACTTCATCCCAGGAGAGGATAAGTGCCCTGTTTACCCCTCTCTGTAGACTCCTTTGGCTTGCAAGTTTGTAATGTAATATTTACTTTTAAAGCACTTTATAATTAGTTTTTTTTTTTACAGGAGATTTGTGGTTATTTTAATATAAAATATACAGAAAATTCAAGCAGTGCTCAAATGAATTTGAATTTTTGTATGCTTCGTGTATGAATCATCTTTAAGTATATATTACTTTTTTTAAATTCATTGAAGTCAGAAATGATGTATCTTTCCTGAAGAGGATAAAATGCATCTCTTGCGTTGAAGGAAAGAGAAAATACAATAAACTATTATTACGTAAATTGGCACGTAAAGAAAAGGCCTTAACTCGATGGTACAGTATAGCCAGAAGGAAAGGGAGAGGGAGGGATGGAGATAGGATGGGGAGTGGGTGGGAATGGGAAGGAAAAGAGCGAAGGGGATAAGAAGAGAATAAGGGCACTTGCCGCGAACCTTCCGTACGGAGGGGACAAATTACGAATAGCGTGTAGGGTTAAAAGACCGCGTGAAGGATACAGAGAGTAAAGATGGTGCCTTTGATAAGCATGACCAATAGCTAGAGAAGAATAACACAAGGTGCCAGATGGAGTATGAACAGGGAGGCACCTTAATAGTTGGGTGCAATGGAGTAGGTAGACGGATACAGTCAGGTAAGAGTCAGCGAGTCATAGGAGCTCGAGGGTGAGGGAGCTGGAGAGAAGACTATGTTAGGTGCTGGAGGGTTGTAGTCCGTGAGGTGGAGTTTGTTAACATAGTTAACGAAAGCCATAAACGTGTCCTTGTCTTTGATGAAGGCACTGAGGTGGCAGGGCCAGTGGTGACCATTGTTTGTTAAAGTTTCTTTCAGATGTTGGTGGTGCACGGTGTGTTTTGGACAGGTAAAGATGAGATGGAATGGGTCATCTTTTTCTTTGATGGTACAGTCACAGAGACCGTCACCCTTTTTTAGGAAGCGGTGCAGGTAGCATTTGAAGTTCCCATGTGCTGTTAAAATCTGGGTAAGAGCGTGATTTGTGCTCAGGTGTTTGAGGTTGGATCTATGGACAACGTCAGGGAGGAAATTTTCATCTTTAAGTAATAAAACAAAATTCAAGCAAATATAAAATTGTCAAATTTTTGCAGTTGGATCAAAAAAGACCATTTAATATGCTAATTGCAAAGCTGTCTGCTTCTCATTACTATTATTCTTATGATAATCAGTATTCTATGTGACCTCTTTAGTGCCTCGTTAGGACTGACACCACTGTGTCTTGTTTGACACGAAAGCTGAGATGGCGTGTTGATTTGGATTAGAATGTAGTTCAAACGAGCTACTGCATATGCGGTTGATCGGATTATGGATGGAGATGGGTTGAGAGACAGCGTACTGGAAGAGAATCATTCGGATGCCAGTTTAACAACTAATAACAATTTAATTTAAAAAAAATCATGATAAAATTTACAGTTTCATTAGTCATTTTCTTTAAAAGGCCTATAGACAAAAGGGTTGCGAGAGAGAGTTTACTTGGGGTTTGCATGGCGATAAATACCTGTAGTTGAAGGATCTGGTTGTAGTCTTGATGCAGGACAGTTCTGGACAATGTATATTCAACTAGTCAGCAAGGAAAATGTCCCTTTCCGGGAGTAGATTTGGTGTCGATGAAATCTTGAATTATTTGGTGTTTTGACAACAAAGTTATTCCAATTCGGAGGCAGTTGGGTCTGAGTCAATAGTATAATCCATTTCAGAGGCACAGGGTATCTGTTGAGGAACTGGCAATGATTATCCTTTGGGTGGCAACTTCTTGACTTGGGGAAAACTAAAACAGTGACTGACTCTTCAGTCATTAATTATACTATAAATACAATATCGCCTGGCCAAGAGGTCAGAAGGTTACGGGAATGCGTCATTTTTGTTGTCGAGAAAGTGTAATTGGAGATTGTCTCGGGTAGTAGATAACAACAATTATTGAATAAGTATGACATTGACGACTTATTTTTAAAGTTCGGATTCTCGTGTCTATATTAAAAATTGAAATTTATTTTTAACTGAAATAAATAAAGTAATATTTGGTTTTTGTTTTTTTGTATTTGTAATCTTGAAAAGTGAATTAAATAAAATTTTTAGTTTTTTGTTTAAAAATAGCATTCTGTTTATTTTGTTATATTTATTTACCTATAAAGATATGTCAAAGTTATATATGATATTTAATGCAAAAAAAAAGTCCCTTTTTTTAGTTTGTTGTTTTACAGATAAATATTAAACAATTGTTTAAACTAAGCAAATACAAAATTTTAATAAATTTATAAATTGCAGCTGAGAAGATCTTCCATTATCAAAGCTTGAAGTATCTATAATTTTCATCATCAGATTTTATTCATTAAGTGAAATAGGGATCCAATCTGTCCTAAATTTAAATTTTAAATCTGTGATGAGTCTTTTGATTTTATATATTGCTCTTTAACAAGTAAGGCTGATTATATAAATTTCTATAAAATTATTAACTTTTTTAACGTTTAATAGAAATTTGATGTCAAATTCACATTTTTATGAACAGAAGTATACCTGATACTCCAGAATTTTGAATTAAATGAACTTGAAAATAACTTACATGAGACATTTTACTAAGATGAAAGAAAACTGCAGTGAAAGTTGTCAGATTTCGGTATGTCATATCTAATAGAGAAATTTATTATTAATTTAATAATTTTAAGAATTTTTGTGCCAACTACTAATAGGATAGTACTCAGTTAGAATTAAATGATTTTAAATAAGTTTGTCATTTTTATTATTAAATATATTATTATAGATTTAATTAATTATTTAATTTTTCTAATTATATAACATTTATTAAATAAACCATTACCAGTTCATAACCAAACAGAAAAATTCTTTCTACGAACGTTTTCATCTGTATGTAAATAATAGACATCCTCAGGTATTGACGATATCGAACTAACAGCTAGTAGAATAGAATGTTTTTGAAAATTCTGTTTAACTACATAATTTGAATACGTTGCATTAAAATTGAAAATATGTAAAATATTTAAAACATATCCAAATATATAATTGATTTCACGTAGATCATGACGTAAATATCCTCTGTAATTTAAAATATCTTTGATGCACGTTTCAATCATTGGGATCTAATTCAAATATGGCACGCCACGCTGCGGAAAGCATATCGGTTTATTTGAAATTAATACCGACCCCTTTTTTAATTGCCTTATATATCTCCAGCGATTCGAGGTACTTGAGTTGTGCTTTATCCGATACTTTGTGTAACAATTTAGCGTTTTGTAGATCAACATGAATGCCCTCATTATTCACATATGTCGCTAGGGGCGTCATGGTCAGCTTTTTTCTTATTGAGTATTCGTGTTCTTTCATCCTCATGATGAGACCTTTTATGGTTGCTCCAATGTATGTTAAAGCATGATTAACCCGGTGATCTTGAAGAGGAACCGCATAAACCCCTGGAGAGTTGGAATCTTCTATACGGTTTTTGTCATTTCTGATAAGAGAGAAGACTGTAGGAGAGCGTCAATATGTTAGGTGTATTTTAGTAGTCCTTGCAATCTCTCTATATATATTAGAAAATGTTTTGTTGTATGTGATAACCCTTATCTGTTCGTCTTGTGGCATATTCCTCTCCCTCCTATTTATGTATTGGTTTATGAGATGCTTCACCAAAGAGATCGGGTATCCATGTTGCATTGCAAGGGCCTTGATTTTCGACAATTCGTTTTCTTTTTCATTTTGCTCCGAACAATTTGTGTGTGTGTGCCCTTTTTACCAAAGCTGAAAAAGCAGAGACTTTGTAAGAGTAAGGGTCATGTGAGCGGTTATGTATAAATAGAGGTGATATGACTCCTTATGTTATGTATAAATAGAGGTGTAAATGGCTCCAAACAGAAAAATTCGTTCGTAGAAATAACTTTTCTGTTTGGTTATGAACTAGTAATTGTTTATTTAGTGAGTGTTATATAATTAAGTATCCAGTTTTTTCAAATACAGCATTATTTTTCTAATATTTTAAAATATAGTAATACCCCGAACTTATGTGATAGGTGGGACCGAGCGATAACCGCGTAAGTCGGGGTATAATTTTGCAATTTGTGTAAAATCCAAGTCGGATGTATGTAAGCTAATAAATGTTCTCATTAATCTTATCTTGTCTTTTGATTCGTTTCCGGTTACAATAAATCACCGCATAGAGTCTCTCAAGTCTCCATAGATATAACAAACACAGAAATAAATAACACAAAATAAATTGTAGCTATGTGTCGATTCTGCGTGACACGTCCGAACATGTAAGCTGAACAATAGTGTGGGGGGAGTGAGTAATCAAGAGTTGTGTGGCACTCAAACAAAAGATGAATTGACGAGATTTGAAAATCGCGTAACTCTGGGTTCACGTAAGTCGGGGTAGCACAAGTCGAGGTATTACTGTACTATATTAATAATTAAAAACCTACAGAATAATTTTATTTTTCATAAATTAATATAAGGGGGTATAAACTGAAAATCCAGAATATGAAAGTGAATTTATTCTTATATTTGTGGGGTTACAAAACGAACAATGCACATAAAATAAATAAAGAAAACATATTTGAACAGATAAAAATTTGCCTTTAATGTTCTAGCATTTGTTTGTGTGTGAATAAGTACTTTTAATCCCCTTAAGGAATTGTCTTCATGTTCATTAATATTATAAAAATTATAAAACTAGTATAAAATCATTATCCAACAAATTTAGCAGAATGTCTTTAAAATTTAAAATTGAAATAAATGGATGTTTTCCAACATGTTAACATGTAATGTACTTATGATATTCAAATTTAATTAAACACATCACTGTGATATCTTTGCAAACTGCTTTAACACCTCTGTGTGGACACATTTAAAAGCAATATATTTTTAAAAATGTGTAAACATGTGAAAATGTAAATATTCAGCTATTTGTAGAATCATGCAACTGTTGTTTGCTTATATAGTGTCTTCCATGCATTTGATAGAGACTCCTGGTCCCATTTGTTAAGATATGTTTCCAACATTTCTATCCAGTGGTGCTACATTAGCTAGCTATTGGTGGTAAATCATGAGTGGAGAAGATGATGCTCTGTCTACTATGGATTAGTTTTACGTGCACAATATGTCTATCACTGTGTTCAAATGCCTTCTGTACTAAAAAAATACGAAAGATGCATATAGAAAAAGATCAGAGTATTGGTTTCTAAAACCAACTGATTATGATATATTGGGAATGTTCTTATACACAGATATATTGGTATTGGATCAGTGTCAGTTATGTTTCCAATATAAAATCAAAATGAAAACATACTTCTCAAAACTTTAATTAATGATTTTTACATGCACTTCATTAGTATCTCTGCTATTCTGGGATAAGTCAGTTTCATGGTGGAACATGTTTGCAAGCATTTTGGAGATTATTTTATGAATAGTCTACTTAGTGTAATTTTACAGATGTTATATCTCTGTATGTCATTACATTTCATACTTTTGATACCACAATGCATTTCTTGAACATTTATCATTGATAATGTGGATTTAAAAGAAAGTTACTTGAAAATATAAAAATAACCACTTAACAAAACCAATAACCGGTATTAAATAATTGTAAAATGAACTGCAAACGTTTTCGGTTCCTTCCCTAGGACCTTTCTCAAGCAACGATTCGTCTTTAGAATAAATATGAACGAAGACCAGTAAATTGCGACATTCGAAAAATTATTCTTCCAAACAACATTTCAAAAATCAAAATTCAACGTTAATGTGAATCATGTGCATTCCTGAATTCCGTAAATAAATTCAATAAAAAATAAAAAATGTTCAGTTTACATATTCGTATGCATGATGTTTAAACCCTATTTATGAAACGTATTATTAATGCGTATCTTCTTTCTGTAGTAGGGCCTGCCATGCAAGGGATAGGGTAATTTCATCCCTCGAGTTAATAGGTTCAGAAGTGTTGTATGCCTTGCAGATCTCCATTTGTTCCAACCATTTGAGGTGGTCCATAAATGTAGTGGTAATGAGGAATCTGGCGTTATCAAAGTCTACCGAAATCTCAGGGTCCGAAGCATACATGGATAACAAAGTAGTACCCCTGTTGTGGATGATGTCACTTCTGTGTTCCGCCCATCAGACACCAATCGAACGCTTAGTAGCACCAATGTAGATCAGTTGTCTGTCAAATCTAGGGGAACAGTGTATACCCCTGGCAGCTTATCCTCCTTAGGTTTATCTTTTTCATTGCACAAAAGCTTAAACATAGACAGACATCTTCTGAACGACAGTCGTAATCCTTGTTTTTTAGCGATTCTTTGGTATAAGGATATGAGGAAGGGGTTGTATGTGACTGTTGTGATGGGTTGGTCTTGTTGTACCTTATTCCCATTCTGTGGCGGTGGTAGGCCGATGCTGTATTGTTGAGCTAATTTATGGACAATGTTATAGAATCCTTGTTGACCGGCGATGTTAAGTAGATAGTTCAATTCTTGAACTAATGCCTCCTGAGTTGAAGAATGGGTGTGGGCCCTCTTAACCAGTGCTTTAAAGGCCGCCATTTTATATCTGAATGGGTCACAGGAGTTCGCTGGGATATACATTGGGAAGTGACAAGCTTTGCGGTATACAGAAGTTTCCAAGGTGTCTCCACCAAACGCAATGCTCAAATCAAGAAAATGTACATCTTTATCACTAAGTTGCTCCAGCTCTATGGTAAGGCCATATGGATTGTCGTTCATCTGATTAATAAAGTGGGTGATGTCTGGATCGTTTTTCCACAAAATAATGATGTCGTCTATGTATCGCTTGTATAATAAGATGTTGTGGGAGAAAACAATTCCTAGTTTCTCCCACTTTTCACTTTTCAAAATACTTTTCAGCTTTAGTCTTGTGAAGGCATGGAAAGTTTCTTCAAAGGTTTTATACTCATTGCAGGTTTCTGCTATAATTGCAAACTAAAACTGAAAAATTGGTTCAAAGGTCAAAGTCAACTCTAGTTACTATCAGAGTAAAATACTAGAACCCATGTTCAAGCATGAAATTCTGTTGTATGGTACAGAAACTTTGAAGGTATGGTTTTATCAGGACAAAGCATTGAGTCATACCTTATGTTCAATTTTGATATTTCAGATGATGATGGTGGAAGAAGCTAGTATAAAGTCAAAACCCTATTCTGATGTACCTGTTAAATCAGCCAAGGTCACGGTCATATTCATGGATTTCTTTGCATTTGGGCCACTAAAAAAAGGGTCATTGGAAATTGTTTGTCCTGAACATTAGATTTTTGAAAACTTGCTATGATGAATGGGAGAAACTAAACCAAAATTCTCTAAGAAGAAGAACCTGGTTGCAGTGGAAAATTTGATGTTGGAAAATAGCCAGAAACAAAGGGAAGCAGATAATACATGACAGATGGTGAAAGGAGTTTTCCTGAGTAACTAATAGCTATTAAGAATGTTCCCAAAAGACTGAAACATCCTTCTGTATAATTTATTTTTTACTTCTAGTCGAACAAAATTTCTTGTTTCTGAACTTTGTCTTTTCTTTAAGTCAAACTAGTCAAACTCAGCAGATTAGGTTGATCAACAGATGCTGATCAACCTAATAAGTTCTGTGAATCTTTTTAATGCATTTTCCAGTAAAGTGGCTTTAAATGTGGCTGGATGGCCACTGACAGTCCATTTCAAGCTACTTTACTAGGCAATTATCTTTTGTTTACAGGTGGAAAACCCATTAGATTTAGTGGAAATTCTGATGGAAAACAGTTTTATTGGGACAAGTTAGTGGATAGTAAAGCATTTAGTGGAATTTTTATGGGTTAAAAAAATTAAAAATTTAATGTTTCCATAAGTAGTAAGTTCCATCACAAAAAACAATAGCAACAAAATAAAGACAAGACAATATACGAGGGACATCCCAGAAGTACCCGACCTGATGTATAGATGGCAGTAGTTTTGAAATAATTACTGTGGTTGAAAGTACCAACCTTATAAAGTTGAAGTTTGAAAACACTACATTGTTTAGTATTTGTTTGACAGCCATCAATAGTGAATGATCTCAGTTAATTTGTAAACATGGAAAAAATTTATCGTTGTTATATGATACAATACTTTCATTTGAAGGGTCTCAGACCAAGCAACATTAAAGCTGAACTAGATTCTACTCTGGGAGAGTCTGCTCCCTCATTTACAACAATAAAATATTAAGTGGCCGAGTTTAAACGAAGCCGTATGAGCTGCCAAGACAAATATTGCAGTGGTCGACCAAATGAGGTGACCACATCAGAAATGGTGAAAAAAAATTCACAAAATGGTATTGGATGACTGTTGATTCAAAGTGTGAGAGCTAGCAGACATGGTAGGCATTCCAAAAAGTGCTGTACATTACATTTTGACTGAAAGTTTGGACATCAGAAAGATGTGTGCAAGATGGGTACCATGTTTGCTCACAATGGAGCAAAAACAGCATTATGAGGATGTTTCAATCGAGTGTTTGGCAATGTTTCGCAGAAATAAAGTCAAGTTTTTGCGTCAATTCATAACCATGGATGAAACATGGGTCCATCACTTCACGCCTGAGATGAAAAAACAGTTGAAACAATGGACTGAAAGGGGAGAATCAGCTCCAAAGAAGGCAAAGACAGTTACATCTGCTGGCAAGGTCGTGGCATCAGTTTTTGGGGTGCACGTGGGATAATTTTCATTGATTATATTCGAAAAGGAAAAACAATCAATGGTGAGTATTATGCAAACTTATTGCAGTGCTTTAGTAATGAAATAAAAAAAAGGGCGCATTTGGCAAAAAAGAGTGTTGTTTCGTCAAGACAGTGCACCAGTTCCCACATCCATTATTTCGGTGGCCAAAATCAGCGAGTTAAGGTTTGAATTGCTTCCTTGGATTATTTTCTCTTTTCAAACTTAAAAAAATGGCTTGATGGTAAAAGATTTGCCAACAATGAAAAGGTAGAGTCTGGGGGGTGATGGCTTTTTTTTTGAGATGCTCGACAGTTATCACTATAAACAGGGTATCAAACGTTGCTGGGAAATGTGTATTGAGCTAAAAACAGACTATGTTGAGAAATAAAGATGTTTCTCAAATTTTTTGTGTCTTCTTTGTTTGGTCGGGTACTTCTGGGACTACCCCATAGAAAGATTGGGCAGTGTGAAATCTGTAAAAATTACTCGTGGTATTTGCATTGCATTTTGCATTCTAGTTTTCAGTTTTTCAATAATTGACATCCATGACAAGTGAATACAAAAACATAGGATGACAGGAGGAATGACTTTATTGTTGGAAAAAGTCATTCATAACTTTAGTGTATCATAAATTGTTTTATAAATACATTGTAACACATAATGTCATAAAGTTCATTTGTCAAATGATGAAATGAAAATCTCAGGTAGCAGGAAAAGAACATATAGGGAAGAGGATTGTAAAAACAGGAAAACTTTTTGAACTAAAAGATCAGTCCTAAAAATACATTGACTGTTAACAAAACTGGCTTTGTACAAGAAGTTGAAGCTTCTTAGCAAAATATAGTGTTGAAAACAAATAGTATAAGTTTTCTGAAATTATTCTATAAGTATTTTTAATATTGGCCTGAATTATTAATTGCTATCTCATTTTTACTGGAGATTTTTAGTTTCACTAATTTAATACTGATCATATTAATCGGGTAACCGTTTTGGTTCCTATTTCATTTAATGTTTTCTAATATGTATGGGTGCAGGTAAATAATGATATGCTATTTCAGTGTCGCGGGTAAAAGAAAAAGACAAGTGTTTGTAGGTCCTACATTACAATAAAAAAAACCCTACAATCTCAGTGAGAAGGTTGTGACTGTTTATTTTACAGTACAATTGGTTTTTTGATCGATATTTAGGTCTCAATAGAAAGAAACTTAAATACGTAGTTTTTAAAATCACTGACATAGTTTTAATATGGCCTTGGGGGATCGCCAGAATTTTTTAACTTAAAGGGGTCGCTTATTGAAGAAGGTTGAAAAACACTGTGCTATTTCACCAATAAAAATCATTTATTAAATTATTTGTCAATACAGTATGCATTTTAGCCCTAAATGGTTTGCTTCAGTTGTGACAAGTAATTAAATCATCAAACTTAATTATACAATTATGTTTTTAATTTGGCAATTTTATTTATCTTCTATAATTTTCATAATATCAGCAATATTCTTTAAGAAACACTTTGCTTGTTTATACAGACTAAACTATCCCAGCACTCTGCTTGTGAGTCATATACCTGTATTTAAATTAAATTATATACTTGTATTTAAATTAATGCTATTTATATTTTTAACAATTGCATAATATTCTTTAATTTTTATATTTTCTGCTTCGTTGTTCATGTTCAAACCAAGAAGAATTATTGTATCTAAGTCTTTAAACTGCCTTGTGTTCTTTTACTGTAATTAGCCATTCAAATTACAAGAAAAGAAATAATGGTTTTTTTTGTATTATTTTTTAATTTTATTAACACTATAGATTAAACATTTAAATTAGTGCAATATAATTTATTCATACATAAAATATAATTTCATAGGAATAAAAATATTTCTAATTTTCATACACCTGCATATATAGAACTCTCAAAAAATTAAACTTCATTTTCGGTGCCTTTAAATTCAAGATTTACAGGTTATATTGTTTTTTAGATATTTATTCAAAAAAATTATTTAAATGCTTTTTTAACATGCTCCACTATTGAAGTGCTTATGTTAGGACTTTTGTGTGTCTGTTAGACATTATATATTCGAGATTATGATTGTGATCCATTCAATCCATTCATTGTGCATGTGCACATGCATGCTCCATTCAATCTATTTATTGCACATGCACAAAAGGGAACTGAACATTTTTGTTTACGGTCACTATAACCTATAGTAAAAGCTGCCTGGTTCCTCTGAAATCTATAAATCATATCCCTTACTGTATAATCAGTGAAAAAAATCTGAACAACTATTTGATTCCAAGAATTTATAAAATTTATTTTAAATAAAATTAATACAGTAGAGCATCGATTATCCGACTCAATTGGGGTCTGGGGTTGGTCAGATAACCAAAAAGTATGTAAAAATACATTATTTTTATAGTATATTAGTATATCCCATGTAATTATTATATTATTGATAGTATATCGCTATTAACCTACTTTGCGTTGAATTTTCATCGATGTTAAGCCTAACAAAATTTTTTTTAAATAATGATCGTGGCTATTGTATTGTTAAAAATTATTTTTAAATTATTTTATTGCTCACAAAAACAAACAACCACTCATAATTAGAAAATTAAGCCTTGTTTAAATACTGGCATCCCTTTCATGGTCAAGCCACATTGCCAGCTAAAACATCAAAAATTTAACAAAAATAACATTAAAGTAGCCAAGAAATAGTCAAATATTTTAGCGCCGCATCACTAGTGGACATTTGAATTTGCCGACTAGAACGCGGTCAGTTAACTGATGTGACGGATAATCGATGCTCTACTGTATTTGATTTGCTTTTGTGGAGCATGCTATCAGATCAGCTTGAGCAATCCTGTTGTTTTTTAATTTGTTTGCCATAGATATAGTTTATTGACAGAATGTTTTTAAAAATTTCTAATTTGGATACATTTATATTAATTAACATAAAATTTAAACTTTATATGACACCTTGGTATTAGCTTTTTGTATTTTGTTGTCTATTTTAACGTTCTGTATTACTTTTGAATGATGCAAAAATTCTATATTATTCAATAGGAATGGAAAATGTGTGTGATCAAAATTATTGTAGTTCTCTGTGTGAGAATTAGAGCTCTTTCGTGCTGGATTTTTGGAGCTTCGATAAATTTTTTTTCCTCGTTATTTCCCCTTTTCCTTCCATTTTTACATCACTTTGAGAGGTGACCTTTTGAACCTTTTTAATGAGAAGAAAAAAACAACCCACATGCTTCCTATGTCATACGATGTTACAAATGAAAACACTGACCATATAAGGAACAATTATTACTAAGATGCAAGACTAACTCTGACCTTAGTCATCTCTAGCAATTAATTCCATTAGTTTGACAACTGTTATCAATATAATTACCTCTTTCTAACCTGTTACCGGTGTGTCTACTAACTCTTAACGATCCAAAACGAACCAAAACTAACGTTTTCGAACCCTTAAACGGTTCTTCTTCAGGTTTTTTCGAATCTCTGATGGAAAATGCAGCTCGTAAAAACTTTAAATTCGAAATATGTAAGTTCGAATGCACGTTTCCCGTTTCCGTCGTTGTATGTCATGCGCAGTCGACTCCAAGCGGGCTATCATAAATTACTATTCATGAACGCTAGCCACGCTGTTGATAACGTAATCTCTTCTTTATAATTGATGCATTGATTATCCTTAAGGTTAGCCAAGTATATGCTGGCCGCCTCTAGCCATCTGATATGGTGTACGTGCCGTGCGGTGCGGATAATTCTTGCTTTCTTAAATTCGGATAATCAATGCATCAATTATAAAGAAGAGATTACGTTATCAACAGCGTGGCTAGCGTTTATGAATAGTAATTTATGATAGCCCGTTTGGAGTCAACTGCGCATGACATACAATGACGGAAACGGGAAACGTGCATTCGAACTTACATATTTCGAATTTAAAGTTTTTACGAGCTGCATTTTCCATCAGAGATTCGAAAAAACCTGAAGAAGAACCGTTTAAGGGTTCGAAAACGTTAGTTTTGGTTCGTTTTGGATCGTTAAGAGTTAGTAGACACACCGGTAACAGGTTAGAAAGAGGTAATTATATTACTATTCTCCGGTGTTGTGGTAAAGATGAGTAACTGTTATCAAATTTATGAGATGGAAGAAGTGACAATACCAGATAGAAGAAGTAATAAATCTATAGAAATGTTTTGAGTTGTGACAAGTAACATAAACACATCCTGGACGCAAGTCAACCTTAGATGAGGTTGCATCAGATTTTGTATTAGTCAGCCCCTTAGGGACTTGTATAAAAAGGGTTTGGACACAGTCCTCTGGACGAACATCAGCAGTGGACATCAACAGGAGTCAACAGACCCATACCGCCACTCTGTCCATCACCACCTTGCCATAATAGCCATCTCTATCCCAAGATAACCAGATGACCACCTCCCAGGTCCACGATAGTCCCAACGACATCGTATACCAGACTTAGAAGTATTTTTTTTTTTTTTTTTTTTGAAATCTAATCTGTTTGTATACCCCCCCAGAAGTCCCTCTTAGAGAGGTCGCTCTCATCTCTTGGTTTAACTTCGAGAATAGAACTTAGACATTTCATTGGAAAGACGAATCATTGTCGCGACCTAGAATAGGATTTCTGATTATTTCTGTCTGTGTAGCTTTTTGCTTTTGCCTTTGATATGTATAATTTTATAGTTGTTTATTAAATGTGGTATTCTTGTTCAACCTGTGGGGAGAAGCTCGGCGCTCTACCCCCTTGGTTCTCACATCTACTTTGTTAGAAATAAGCTAATTCAAGTAAAGTTGTTGATGAATTTGACTTCATTCAGCATATACGTTGATCATAAATTTTTAATTACAGAATGAATTGTTCTTACTCAGTTTGCATTCTTAAATATTTAATTCTCTGAAAGATAATTATAGAAATTGTGTTTATCAGATTGCTTTGTAATGATGTTTGTAAGAAAGCTTTGAGTAAAATAAAGTTGAGTGTTTGCATGTAAAATATAGCAAAGATCAAAATTTTTTAAGACTGTTACTTCTGTGGTAGTGTTAGAAGGATAAAGATGGACTCAAAAGTTATTTTGACTTTTTGTAAATAGTCCAAACTTCGAATTTTGATAGCAAAGATCTTTTATCTCACTGTTTTAATGCTTAATGTAATGATTTAATGAGAATATAGTAATAAAATAAAAATTGTATTATTGTGATAAAGATGGAATGTTTTCATGTTTTACTAAATAGATTTTGAAATACAATGGGTGATCGGATAACGAACACTTTTGTGAAGGCTTTTTATGATTGGACAACGAACATAAATTCATATAATGAACACTTTACTGAACAAGCATAAAAAGAAGTGGCGGAAAATAACAAATACCGATTGATTTTCCTTTGTCTTCAGGTAACAATTCAAAACCTTTCGGATCGCGGGAGACGTCAACATCAACCCGATACCGATTGGATAGTATTACTCTGAATTTTGAAACTTCCTTGTAATTCTAGCTTTTTGTTTACAACTGCAGGGATGTCAGAACAACGATCACCAAATGGCATTCAAACCGGAATAAGGTTAATGAGGTTGGGAATCTCTACAATTACAATACTATTACTACTGAAAAATCCTGAAGAAAAGAGAAAAGCAATCGACATTGGACAGATTCTTTAACCCCCACAAACGGAAAAAACATGACTAATAAAAATACAAGACTGCATATATGTGTATTTTTACTATTACATATAAATAAACATAGTAAAAAGTATATATTTTTTATTTTTTGGAGTCTCTGGAATGAATTAATCAAATTCCCATAAAAACCTATGGTAAATCGACAATCGGTTAACAAACAAAGTTTTGGAACGGATTATGTTTGTTAACCGATCACCCACTGTATTATTATTGAAAAAATTAATACAAGCAAATTTGCATTTAGAGTGAGATTTTTAAAAATATCAGTTTGTTTTTATTTTATGGAAGTTAATTATATATAGTTCTATGTAATAAAAATATTTATTCTTGATTTAAGATGAATATTGCCATTGCATAATTTTGTTTTGTTTTTTGTGGAAAATTCAGAATTTTAAATTCAGTAAATATAAAAACTTACATATAGTTTAGAAAGTTAAAAAAATTAAACAGATAAAAAATCAAATTATTTCTGGAGTTGTAATGAAGATTTGTGATCGTGTATTATATTTCATGTTTTACTTTTAGTGTCAACATTTTAACTATAATTATTACCTTTGATTAATGTTACTTGAATAATTTCTGACTGATTTTTAATCATGTATGATAAATTGTTGATGAAAATAAATGGATTCTTGGTATTAATAACAAAATTAAATATTTTTGTATTTATTTCAGCATGAATGAAATTGAACTGTGCCATGATAATCATTCAAAAGCCAGTTTAATACAAAATGCAAATATCATAGAGATTATGATATGAGGTAATTATGGCAGACACAAGAAGACGTGTTAAATTATATGCATTGAATGCTGATCGTCAATGGGATGATAGAGGTACTGGTCATGTGTCTTCATCTTATGTTGAGCGACTCAAAGGAATGTCTTTATTAGTAAGAGCAGAATCAGATGGTATGTACATTCTGTATAATAATTTAATAAAACTATATTTTGATGTACCATAATTTTGTGTGGATAACCTAGGATGGAATGTACCCTTTAGAAAATTGCAAGAACAAAAACAAAACTTTCATATACCTACTATATAAAGAGACTGAATACACTTTATGCACTTTCCAGCAATTAATTTTAATTAAAACTGGCATTCAACTATTATGGATTCATGTACCTACCCCACTACATACCCTCTATCTCCAGAGTACCATTGAAAGCAAGATAATTACAAGTATGCAGTATAGAAGTTTTCATCTCAAACATCAAAATATTGCTTTTTCTGTTTCATTTCTGTTAACAAATCATTGTAGATATACATAAAAAAACCAAGCCCAAATATTCTATAATAATCATATTGATTTTTGATTATTTGGAATATAGTTTGTCTAACTATTAATAATTAATAAAAAAATAATTTTTTTTTATAAAGATAGGCAGTTAGACTGCTATTTTATACTAACATTAACTAATAATTAATTTTTGAATTAAATTTAATTCAAAGTAATAATTAACAAAATCAAAATAAAGCAAAATAACATTATTTTTTGCTTTATTGTTTAAACAGATATATAAAATAAGTATAAAAATAAGTAAATACACTTTATCCTGTTTATTTTCTGTTTAATTTTTTATTATCAATATTAAAATTGAAATTAAAAGTAGTTTTTGTGTAATCCTTTCAACACTCATGGCTGTATGACACTATGCCACATGCTAACCTAAACAAACTCTGTGTTTTGTTTATATTTATATTTCCAGAATTTCTTCAAAATACGTAAAAACTTTCAATTGATTTTAAAAACAAACATTGCCAAATTTTGCTTTTATTTTTCATTTTGCACATAACATTATTTTAAAAAAATTTTTATTTCACTTTGTGTGAAAAATGGCATTTTGTTTTTATGCTTCTGAGGCCAATTACTAAACATTATATCAACTAATGACTTAAAATACAATTTCTCTTGTGTTGTCAGAATATTTTCTTTATAAACCAAAAATACTCTTGTGTGTTGCTCTATTTGCAGCCCAGCCAGAGACTATAATCTGATAGAGGTATGCAATATCATACATTGGATCTGATCATGTATGACAGAATTTTCTGTTGAAAATAAATAAACTTTTAACAAAATTATAAAGATTCACTTTTTTGCCTTTTTGTCTTCACTGTTTTACATTTCTATGTATTGATATATATTGTCTACTGGGCTTTGTTTATTAATAGGATTTATTATACCGGTGAAGTTTCTGATTATCAAAAAGAGGAAATCTTAGTAAAAAATCTCCTCTCTTTGCTAATCAGAAACTTCATCAATATAAAAGTCGTATTAATAAACAAGGTCCAAGTAGACAATATATACACAAAAATGTAAAAGTAAAAAAAAAAATTTATTAGAATTGAAGTATGTAGATAAACAAATAATTTACAGATAACAGAATGGCAAGAGACCATATGACTATCACTTTTGATGTTGCAACTGGTACAAAATTTGAGATGAAAAATCTAGTAAAAGATTACTAAGATAAACAATATAAAATAAGTGATAAATAGATAAACAAACTTAACAAGTCATGTGACCAATGCCATTTAAACTTCCATGTGGTGATTGTTATCAAATATGAGATTTAAAAAAACTTACTCTGTCTAAAAATATTGATGTATTATTTAATTTTATTCAAGAATATGTAATAAAAAATGGTATAACAAGTAATAATAATCAAAATAAACTTTATCATTGTTTAAATACCAGTAGGAGGTAAGCTATTGACATTTGGAAAGACGTCAAAATAAGATATCCAATCAACAATATTGTAAGAAATGTCTGTTTTTGTCATCTTTTGAGAAAAAAAATTACTTCTATTGTAGTTCTGAAGCATGCTTTGATATCCCATATTGGGTAGTCAAAGATTAAAATTCACAATACTGTATATTGAAAAGTTTATATTTATGAATAAAATCATGATGGATTGTTAAAAACAAGGTGTAACATTGAGGGAAACTCAAATAAATTAAGATTATAGATTATTCATACTGGAGCCATTTAAAGTTATGCCAGTCACGTTGGTTATTAGCATCCCACTCATCACCCCATCCTGTCAGACTTTAACTAATCATTAATGTTTTTTAAACTAATGATTGAAATTTTAAATTGACATATAATTTGCATTCCTATCAAATTATCTTTCAAACACAAGTAATTCATGAGTTATCCTCATGAAATTATGGTACTTTAAAAAATATTTTCATTTTATAGTTATAAATGTTTGTTTTATTTATCTTTTTTTAAATCACTCAGATTATTCTAAAATATCATTCGTTAATGAAATGTAAAATTACAATTATGTTGATAGTAACAAAGTTTAAAGTAAAAATTTAATTAAAAATTTCTTTATATTATAGATTAATAATAGCACCAGTATAAAAAATCCTGCTGATTATTGGTAGCATGATGAATGCATGGAATTAACTTTTATTTTTTGTATAACAACATTTGGTTTCATTATTTTTAAACTAAATATTTTCATTACATTTTTTTAATTAGTTGACATTTTTGAATTAATTTTTTTTATTTCATATGCTTATTCTGGTATATTAATTAACATTACAATAGTTTTTACATTGTAATGATTTTACTTCTTTAATTAACACATGAAGTGTCATTTACAAAAATATATTATAGAATACTGGCATGTACCACAACCACATCTGTACTATTTTAAAAAAGCATAATGAAAAGGTTTTATTCCACTCATTTGCAAGAAATGATTTTTATCTTGCTATTTATATTTTGATCTGTGATTAAAATTTATTGGTCACCCATTTTTGCAGAAACAATAATTACTGGAATTGCTTATAAAGACATGTTGGAAAAGAGAACTCTACTAAAATAAAATTTTAATGAATGTGCTTATAGGAGTTATTATAATACAATTGAAATAATAAACATGAAAAAACTATGTATGCTTTCAATGTTATTGAATATTATGATGATGAGATTATACTCAAAAATACTTGAAGTAACATTTGTGTTTTTTATGTTTATTTCAATTGTATCAATTCCTGTTAAGTATTTGCATTGAAATAACAAACATAATACATGCTGGAATTATAATTAATATTTAGTCATTAAAGACACATTGTATGTTTTTCAATAAGCTAGTATGCCATTATATATCTACAATCAGATGATGATATTGGAAAGCTAAGCAGTACATCATTCAATAAAATTCAAGAAACCATCAAAAGATTTAGATCTAAATTTCTCTATTTCTTCATGTTGAGTTTTCTGAAGAGTGAGGTTTACAGTTGTGTAACTACTCAATTCTGTTTTGCATATGAATTACTGAAATTGATTGTTACTTGTTACAGAATATTTGACATGATTTTGATATGTACAGGAAAAAAATTCAATTGCTGTAATTGGAGTGAAAAATGGATATTTAAAGATTTGTATATATTTAAATATTTACTTATAATCTGGAACTTAAAAAGAAAAAAATAAAACATTACCTTAATATGATAAAATCATAAGAAGAATTGTTATTGTGGTAATAGGAATAATTAGAAAACATAAAATTATTAAGGTAGATTAAATGAAATGAGGCATAATATAATTGAAATTAAGATTTATGAAAATGAAATAACTATAGCTTTATTGTATAGACTTAGTGAACTATCTGTATGAAATAATTCATTTTTAAAGATGAAATAAATAATCAGAATCTCTTACATTCTATTTTGTCAGAGTTTTAAGCTTTCCATGTTGTATTTCTAAACAGTTTATTTTATATTTTAATGTTTTGAGAAATATACATATTTATTAATAGTAGACTTCTGTTATTTTGAGTTTGCTCCACAATTTATTGCTGTTATTTTGTTTTTTGTGTTAATTAAAAATTTAGTTTAATTTCTTATCTGTGATTTCTCCTTGACTCATATATGTGTAAGGTCCAAAAGTTCTGGGCCTGACCTACTTTGCACATGTGCAGAAAAATGTGAATGGCAGTATTGTGGAACTTAACATTTGAGATACAAGTGCCCTTGGTTGCATTTTTATGTTCTTGTTCTTGCATGTCAGATAACATGGCTTAACCTGTATACACTGTGTTGAATTTTGGGTATCGTACAGTGATAAAGTTCTTGACAAAAACAGGTTGGACACTATTGGAAGGTCACTAACATCATAATGTATGTGGCAATGCTTCTCCATTCTATGTGATGGTAAAACAATGGGCAAAACTTTTTAAATTTGGAAGTTTCTCAATGATGACCCATGCAGCTGCTGCCCAGCCACAGCAATTACTGAAGAAAGCATCACACTTGTCTGAGGATAAAGTGCTTTCCAATCAATGTCTGAAGATGAGAGAAATTTCTGCAAGATTGAACTTGTCGAAAACAATGGTTCTTTGAATTCTTCATGAACATTTGTTAATGAACAAGGTCAGTCCATGTTGGTACCCAAAATTCTTTCCACAATTCATAAGCAGCCATGGGTCAACTGCGCTTGACAATTTTTAGAGTTCTGCAGTTCATCATCACTAGGGATGAGACCATGATTCTATACTATGATCCTCTGCCCAAAAGAGAATTGATGGGAATCTCCTCCAAAGAAGCTGAAAGTGTTGTAGTTAAAAAACGTTGTGGCAATTTTCTAGGATTGTGGTGACATGTTATTATTCATCAACTTTAACAAGAGAAATTCTATGGTGAATGCTGAATACCGTATTATGCCAATCTGATGATAAAACTCCAGGAATGCCATAAAATAGAAAAAGAGGGGCAAACTTTCAAAAGGCATGTGACAATGCACTCATTTATACTGCTTTTCATGTGAAAACTGCCATTAAAGAATGTGCCTTTACCAAACTTTTTCATTCATCATACAGTCAAAGTAATCACCTTGGGCAACGATACACTTTGCCAGCATTCATATAACTTCTGGAAGTCATGTTTTGAAACCCCGTAAGGCCTCCTGCAATGCTGCTCTCACCTCATCTGATGACACAAAACGGTGTCCCTGCAAATGCTTTTTCATTTATGGAAACAAATAAAAATCACATGGGGCTAAGTCCAGTGAATAGGCAGGGTGTGGAAGCACATTAATTTGAGTTTTGGCGAGAAACTGTGTGACCATTTGGGACTGATGTGTAGGTGCTTTGTCATGCAGAAGGTACCAGTCTCCACTTTGCCATATCTGTAGCCGTTTACGATGAATGGATTCCATCGAACAACATAAAATGGAATTAAACAGTAAACAAGGAGCATTATCTAGACATAAAATGTCTAGATAATGCTCCTTGTTTACTGTTCTGCCTTCGGGAATAAATTCTGAATGAACAATTCCTTCAGAATCAAAAGACACCTCCATGATGACTTTCCCTTTGCTTGGTGCATTTTAAGATCTTCCGTTAAAATACACTGGCAACTAGTCTTTGACAAGTGAGTAGCTGCAGCGATTTTTTCAAGGGTTTGACGACAATCTTTGAGAACACATTGAGAGACCAACTCAACATTTTCCTCATTCCGTGAAGTCAAAGTTCAGCCCGAACGTTCATCGTCTGTGATGGATTCTCAACCGTCTTTAAAATGCTGATGCCATTTGTACACCTTTTGATTTCTCCATGGTAAAATCACTGTACACCTTTCTTAGCAATTTTAAAGTCTGCGTACGTGTTTTACCTAAACGCTGACAAAATTTAATGTTGCAGCGCTGTTCTTGAAACTTCAATTTTATTACATCGCAAAACAAAGGTAACTGTCTCTGAAAGAAAACAACAGCGCTTGCGGTTTAATCGCGTGACATGGATGAAACCAACCTGAACACACAGGAATGGTTTGATAGAATCCATTTCATACGCTGTAACTTCAAATACATGCTTTTGTTGTCATACATTACTGCAGTCCTTGAACTTTTGGATCCTACCACGTATAAAAGAAAGCTATATTGAAAAATAATGTACATCTTTTATTTATTTGATACTTCTTTCTCACTCAGGTCTAGAAGTTTTGGACCTTACTACATACATTCATAAATATCATCATAAAAAGTGTTTATGGTTTTACTTTTTATTATCTTTGTCATTATTTTCTTTTTGGTCATAATCTTAAGAAGTTGAATTGAATCTATTCTGAATGATAAACTTGCACTTATTATCTGTTTTTAGTTTAGTCTTGTAACCATTGGAATGTCTTGAAATCACAGGTATAAAATGCAGCTATGTATATGATAACAAATGGAGCACATATGCTAAATTTTGGTACATTATGAAATAAAACACTTTGAATTATATTTTCATGGATATGCATTTGATTTTGAAAATTATCTAAATGATTTCTATAATCTCTCTTAATATTTATAACACTGTGTAAAATAAGAATTGTTGAAAATATTAAAAACTAATAATAATGATATTTAGTTTTTAGTATTTCATTTATAATGTGAAATATTAACTTAACTAAATTTAAAAATAATGGCAGAGTCTGTCTTTATTTGAGACTATTTTCCCATTTCTCTTACTTTTCTTATATTAGAAAGCTTTATTATATGAAAACATCCTTATCATTTATACAAGTGGTAGGAAGCAGTTTCAATTATAGTCTTTAAATGAAATGTTCATTATATAATGATTAATTTGTTTTTCTAAAATGTTTCTATTTTATTTTATTTAGGTTCTCTGCTTTTAGAATCGAAAATTCAACCTGATACTGCTTATCAAAAACAGCAAGTAAGTATTGAGAACATGCATATTTACCATAATTTCATGCAGACAATCTGTAGGTTATTTGTGTTTGAAATATAGTTTGGAAGGTTTCCAGTGAGGCAGTTATATGCTGATTTTAATTCTTGTACCCGGTGAAACGGGTAAGATATGCTATAATCTAATAGTCTCAATCTTTGCTATCATTACTTTTGCCCAAGCAATGCCAGGCTCATCTGCTAGGGTATATATATATATATCTGTATTAGAATGTTCTTAATATATTGGTATTGAATCATTTTATCTGATACTTTTTTTATGTACATTATTTATGTTGTCCTTTCATGGCAGGCATTCTAACATGGTGATAGACATGCTGTGCTATAAAATTAACTGCAGTAGACAGAGCATCCTCTCTACATGTCATTTGCTACTGATGGCCACAAAATATACAGTGCTGTTGATTTTGGCAAATACCAATTTGTTTTGTCCCATGGGCAGACCGTTGCAGGAGATCCATGAGGAGACTGAACCAGTCAGTTGGCAATTTGATGACAGTTTTTCATTCTGGCAATTTTTTTCACTATTACACAAATTATTTCAGGTTGTTTGAATGCTTTCCTAAAATCAGGGTTGGGGTTAGGCCTAGGCAAATAACAATTACATTTGCCTATGGTCTGGATCTAAAAGGAGCTTGTAATTCTCAATTTATAAACTTTTATTTCTTTATATTTGAATTTAAATGGATAGTGAACAAAGTGGATATTCTCTAAATAAATGAGCATTCAGGCTTTCATTTATTAATGATAACTCTAGAGAATGAGTTGAAGCAAGTATTGATATTGGGTTATATTCACAGGATTTAGTATTGTATCATCACTAATTACAATTAATTACTTTTTGAAATTATTGTTACTTTCAAACATTTACTTATTACTACTTGAATTACAGGCAACATGATGTGACAATGGGGATTAACTGATAAGTACCAAATATAATTTTAATATCAATAATAAAAATTATTTTCTATAATTTTTTTAAAATTATTTTTATTATTACTGGACAAAGGAAACTAGGCATAAAATAAACATAATAAATTGTATTTGTTTATTTCTATACTTAATTTATATATTTGGGCAGTTCATAAACACCTGCAATCAAAGTATGTGAGAGAGCAAGTTAGTATTGGGGTAAATTTATCAGTATTTAAAGTGTTTAAAAATAAGATGTAAAAGTAATGTCATCTTTAGTTTTGATTTTGTTAGTTGTTATTTTGAATTGAATTCAATTATTAATAAATTTATGAAATGCATTCTTGTCCTTCAATTATCAATATACAATATGATTTTGAAACGTAACATTTAAAGGACAGGAAGCTTCATGTAAATTATTAAGTTTAATTCAGAAATTATTGTAATTATTAGTTAATATTAGTATAAGATAGTAGTTTAACTGTCTACCTTTAGAAAAAATTATTTTACGTTAATTATTAATTGTTAGACAAACTATAATCCAGATAATCTAGAAATTAATATGATTATTATAGAATATTTGGGCTTGGTTTTTTATGTATATCTACAATGATTTGTTAACAGAAATGAAACAGAAAAAGCAATATTTTGATGCTTGAGATGAAAACTTCTATACTGTATACTGGTAATTATCTTGCTTTCAATGGCATGCTAGAATTACTGGATATATGGTGCAGGGTCGCTCTGGAAAATTTAAAAATATCACTGCCATTTAGCCAGTTTTAACTTTTTTTGCCACTTCAAATTTTATCACCAATAGTTTTACTTACTAATTAATACAGCTGTTGATGGCCTTATTACAGTAGAACCTCTCTAGTCTACCACTCTGGTTAATCCAACCATGGTCGGAATCGAGAAACTTGTCTCGACTCGTCGGTGACTCACTGTCCATGGCGTTTTTCTGTGTTCGTTACAGTATATGTTTTACATTATGTGTACATGTACAGTTTTGTGTGTGTTTTCAACATGTCAGGAGTGAAACATAAACACGTTACTCTTTCATTAAATGAAAAATTAGCAGTGCTACAAAGACTGGACAAAGGGGAAGATTGTTTATTTTACTTTTTTTTTGATAATCTGACCTTTTTTGCGTTCCGACCATACCCCCAGTCCCAAAGGTGGCAGATTAGAGGGGTTCTACTGTAGTTTGGCATCTGAAAAGCAAAACATTTAAACTGTCACATACAAGTAAAGGGGCAGACATTTGGGTCTCCAGTTCAAACAAAATTTGGTGAGCATGTGATCTTAAACACAAACAGTTCCTTGTTCGAAGATTAGGATCTACTCAAGCATTTACAAAAATTTGACCTCTAAAAATTGAGATTTTGCTTATAGGTCTGGAAATTTCACATGTCTGAGTGGCACTAGCAAAATGAATAAGTTGCTAGGCAGTGGAGCTACCCAATGAAAGTTCAGACATTTGGAATTTTAATTCTGTTTTGTTTTTTTTTCCTATTTATAACATAATTATATTATTATTTTATTGTATCATTAGTATTATTATTGGGCTGCAATTTGAAAAAAAAAATTGTAGACCTATAATTTCCCACTGTCATTGTCTGTCCATCCATCCATCCTTAATCTCAAGAATGGAATTAGATGAGATTTGTGACCAAATATGGAAAGCTTAAGTGTAGAAGGGGTAGTTTGCATTGGAAGTTCATGTAAATGAACTTCCAATGCAAATCAGAAGTCACGTTATTTCAATTCAAAGGTTTCAGGGGAACTTTTGAATTGAAATAACATGACTTCTAGGTGTTCCCTTGCTAGGTGTGTGGTGCACAGGAGCTAGACATTTTGCTGTTTTTCCTGAATTGTGCTTTGTAATTTAATTTCATGCTAAATGTGGAAATAAGTGGACTAGGATTTTTATCGCCACTTTAATAAAAATATTACCAAGTGGCAATTTTGGCACTTTGCAGTGTGACCTCTGATGGTTGGATGGGTTAGGTTATATGAAGGTTTCATTTTTATTCATGCAATTTTCTGTAGAATATATGCACTGCAGGTTATCAGCATGAAATTATGGTAAATAAATTTATTTTATTAAAATAAATACATAAATAGATATATTTACTTGCTTATTACTGACATTTATCATCATTTTATTCTTAAATTAATAATTTTCTTGTTTTTAATGTAGAAAAATTTTTTTATATTACTTTTAAGAATTATAGTTACCACAAGAAAATTTAATTAAGGAAATGTTGTATAAAAGCATATTTTAGAATATGTTGTATTAATGAGTGTTTTTGCTTGCAAAAATTTGCATTTTATTTAACGTTATTTGGAAATTTGCAAGAGTTAAAGTATTCTTTGTTTTGAAAAAATTTAAAAAATATCATTGAAAAACAAAAGTAATTTAATTATTAATTTGTTTTGTTCAATATTCAGTTTTTTGCTGTAAATCTGTCATTTCGAAACAATAGTTTTGTAATATTTCTGTTTTTTGTTTAAAAACATTGTTTCAACAATAAAATATATTGTTTTCTTTTATCTATATATTTAATTTGCACCCATACTGAGAACTCAAATAAAACTAAATATTCAGTTTCTTTTTTGTGTATTTTATATGTAGTAATTTATCTTGAAAAAGTCTAGTAAAAAATTCTAATGAAACTTTGCAACATACAGTTAGACAATTTTTTAATGGTTTCATCAAATAAAACAATTGATAAAATTTTTTCTATAATTTTTTTGTCACATATCTGTCAGAGTTGAGAAAAATAATAAACATGTAATGGCACTAAATTATATTAAAATTTTAAGATTAATATTAGAAATTTAGAAGTTATTCTGAATAATTATAATTGATTTGAATAAACAAAATAATGCCATCTATGTAGTAAACTAGAATTTCAGGATGCATAACAGCATACATGATAACATGAACAACCCAGGATATTTTCAATTAAAAATTACGACTATTTACAAAAAATTATTTAATTTTTCGAGTCTATCTTTCATCCTTTTAACACACCACAGAAGTAACAGTATATTGGCCTGGATGAACTTCTGCACAACACGTGATAAATTATAACAAAAAAAAACACACACAAAGTTAAAAACGATCGAAACGCCAACCTTTTATTTGAGGATTCAGCGTCCTTAAACATTAAAAACAATGGTTACAATTTCTGACCATAATTACCATTTTTGTTAGCACAATATATAACTGGTTCAGGCCCTCTGGTGGCGATTTTGGGTAATCACAATTTTTAATAGAATTTCAGGATATTAAGGTTTTAGTGGAATGACCTATTCAAATAAAATTTAGTACTAATTCTGTTGTTCTATTACAGTCGACCCCCCCTATAAGATTGTTGATTTTTCCGTTTTATCTGAATTACATGTTGTACGAGTCACTTAGATTTTACAAATATGTGAGCCGTTCACAGCCCGGCACACGTATTTGTAAAATCTAAGTGACTCGTACAACATGNTTTTTTTTTTTCAATGTACTACTTAGCTTTAATTTGAGTGTATTTTTCGTGTTGGAACGAATTATTTGGTTTTACGTGTAATCGTATGGGGAAAAATGATTCACCTTACGACATTTTCATGATACGATCTCGGTTTCAGAACGGATTAATTTCGTATCCTGAGGTACCACTGTACTTACATTTCTTGCCGTAGATTGTGCTTGATCAGATTACATAATTTGAATAGTTGTTACTAGAGCTTATACTAAGAACATTTTTATTTTTTATTCTTATTTTAACAAATTTACGAATGTTTTCAGTTTCGTACAGCACCATCTATGGCAAGAAATGTAACTATTTTGGACTTAAAATTTTTATTACACCTAAAATAATGCTGCTGCTTTCTAAGCATTTTTGTGAAAACCACATCTTACTGTAAATCAGTGTTTCCTAATGTGGGGCAATTCAAAAATGGACTCATCCAGAGTTTAAGTTAACCGTATAGCCTCTGTTTATGTTAGGGGGACATAAGAATTTTAGAAAGGCTTAGGTGGAGCATAGCACAAAAAAGGTTGGGAAACACTGCTGTAAATAGTTTGAGTTTTTAATTTTTTAAAATTTCTGACTTGAATCACCCTGTATATGTGTATATAAGCAAAATGTAATCTGCAATATATCCATCACTGGCAAAAGTTTTATGATTTCGAGGAGGTTTCGAGATTTCGATGGTTTCGAGGAGGATGAAATATTTTTAAACAAGCTATATATTTACATAAAAAGATTAATTTAAAGTAATGATTTAAATGTTTAAATATTTAAACTTTATTTACTACCAACCAAATAAAAATTAAATGCCCTAGATTTAATCTAATTTGTAACATCTAAACTTTCACTATTCAAAAAGTGCAAATCTTGATATATTTTAATTTGAAAAAGTAATTTTTATACTGAATTATTTTTAACAAATAAGTAATCTTATGGGCATATTTTGAAATGCAAAAAGTTGTTAATAAGACTTAAAACTTTGAAAATTTTTATTAGAGTTGTTGAGTACAAGTTTTAAGATGATTTGTACATACAAAATGCATCTAGATTTAAAATAATTTAAATCTTTGAGAGATCTTGTTTTTTAGAAGTAAATTATGTAGTAATGAAATACTTTTTTAAAAAAATCAATCCTTTAAAAAACTTTAAAGGTTAATACAGAAGAAAACAGTTGTGTTCTGTATTAACCTTTGAAGTTTTTTTTAATCTTTTAAGAAGTTTTTTAAAGGATTGATTTTTTAAAAATATATATAAAAAACTGCACCATAAATAAATAAATATATATATATATATCTGTTACTTATACAATGAAATACTTTATTTTATTAGGAAACATTAATTGTTTGGTCTGAAGGAGATAATTATGATTTAGCTTTAAGCTTCCAAGAAAAAGCTGGTTGTGATGAGATATGGGAAAAAATATGTCAGGTAAGAATTTAATAATTTCTAATCTTTGTAAAAATTATATTAATAATAAAAAGTTAATTTTTTTCATAATTACACACCTAAAGGATTATCTTAATATACAGGTATCCCTTGCTTAACATGGATTTGCTTAATGTGGGATTTGATTAATGTGCAAGATTAATTGTGCAGTTCCTTTTCACATGCAGTAAAAGTTTTAATTAATACAGCTTTAACAGTTGTCTTTACATAACATAGATATGTTTTTCTCAGCAAATAAGGTGATAGTGAATTTTCTATTTTCGTTTATTAAAATAAAAATATTTATTATTAACTGAAAATTTGTTCTAGTGGATGGTGATTGTTCAGTTGAGTACCAAGGTACCACTGTATTTGATTGATGTGATTTTGATATATGCAGTAGCATTGAGGGGTTAATTAACTGCATTAATCAAGGGATACCTGTATTACATATATCCTCTGTATAACATGGTAGTTAGGTTCCAAAAAAGTGATGTCGTGCAAATTCATGCTATATGGAACAAAAGACTAGTACAAAACATAGGGTTAGGTTCTAAAAGTTAGCAAAAGTGTGCTATTCTTTTTCATAATTAAGAGAAATATGTTTATTAAAGCAATCAATAACTAACAATTACAATCAAAAGTATTTGACATTAATATTAATTTATTCTTTGCTGCTAAATACCATTAGATGGGGGATGATTTTTTTTTTTGGCAAAATATTGTCATTTTCTGAGCTTTCCTGATGACCTTAATCTCAAATATCAGCAATATCTTGATGTATATCTACTTTGTTTTTATAAAATCTGATACAGGTATACCTCGAGTTACCTGTATCAAGAAAATGTATGGAAAAATAAAAATCAAGTTTTATCATTTTATTCAACTTTACATCTGCCACAAATATTGAAATCGTAATATCACTAGAAAAATGTTAAAAGCACATAAAATCATATTAAAATACATACATTTACAGTAAATGTTAATATAATCATCATAAATCATAGAGAACGAAATGTGAAAACATCTGTGACTCTGTGTTGTCTTATTTAGCGGTCTTAAGAGCTCAATATTGGCATTTTCCATGGTAGTTTCAATATCTACTGTTTAGCATCATTGTCAGTGCCACTGGTTATTGGTAAATTTAACATAAATTTGTTTATTTTTTACTATTGCAAAATAATTTTAATAACTGTATTTGTTATTTAACCTTACAAAATCACTAAGGTGATTTTGTAAGGTTAAATAACAAATAATAATAAAGTCTTAAAGCAAACCACATTCACAAATAGTCCACGATGTACTGTAAACATGTATATTTACAAGTATGTACATACAGTACCGTACATATATTTGTAAATTTAGATTACTTTCTTTTCCTGTACTGTATTAAAAACTAAACTTTATTTGTTTGTGAGCTTAAAATAGATTCTTATTAATCATATATCATTAAAAATGCATTTATAAATAAAATACAAAACTGGGAATGATTATTTGTGGTTTAGCCTAGTGACAAGTAAATTCAACTTAAGTCACTTCTCCTGGAACCAATTACCGACGTAAGGCAAGGTATACCTGTATTTTCATTTGCTTGTATTTGCCTAAAAGATCTTTAAAATTTATTTATTTATTTATTTATTACATCAAAAATAGGAAAAAACAGTTGGCTGTTGATCTCCACTTTCTTGTTTAACAAAACCTCGACAACAGTAAAAAGGAACATATAAAAATGTGTAAAAACCTGACATTTTTAAAGGAATATATATAAGCATGTAAAAAATCACAGCTGAGATTTGAAAAAAAATCATGTAAAAACACTATAGTCACGAAAAAGATATATAAAAACACGTGAATATATTAAATTCATAAAAGACTTAAAATTTAATTTTTTTATGTAGTAACTTTTAATTTTATATATAAGAACAAAACACAGTTACAGTCTTTTGTGTTTATTTAGAGCACTATCATCAATTACAGTGGTGGAACCTGGTTTGTAGGAAAACTAGAGTAGAAAGCTATAGCAAGAAGAAAAAAACTTGTGCAATCAAGTTTTCATTAAAGAAAATCTGTCAAAAGACATGAAACAACGTAGAAAATTTCAATATTCTAAAATCTGTGGGCAGATATGAGACAAAACATGCATGCTTGCTTGAATAAAAAAATAAAGTATTGAATGACAGTGTTTGTACTTAAAATTTTGACTTTTGCACAGGGATGTCTCAATTCTCAAATCATGTTAGAGTGAAACTATGTTATATGGAGTATATTGCTAATTCCAGTATAAAGTTTTGTATTAATTTCTGCAATATTGTCTTTATCCTTTGTAGACTGAGATTATTTTTTAGTTATGCTAAACCATCATAAACTGATTATCCTTTGGTTAGTTTAGCAGTAGAACAAATATGCATCATATTCATATTCTCACGCAAAGCTGGAAGGATTTATTTTGCTTCTGGACAGATGTTTAAGTGTACACCTTGTGTTGTGTGCATTTGTGTATAAGTAATTATAATAAGTTTAGATAAATAATGTTAATATTGAAGTTAAATTTTGATGCCTCATTATGTAAAATTGTTTCTTGCTAATCAGTGAGATCAGTGTAGCTTTAAATTTTATGGAAAATTTTATCAGTTTATGTTTATACTTTAATAATGATGATTCTGTATATTTCATTACAGTCTTATAATTATTATTGTAACTAATTTTATGACAATATTCTTAACAGAATTTTAATATGAATTATATTCTAATATACAAAATAGTTGATATTGTATATATATGCACACAATGACACCTTTTATACTTATATAACAAAAATATAGTTTTTTTTAGTTAATATTGTAGCATTGTTATATAATAAATCTATATTAAATAAAAAACATTTTGTATTGAAATAATATAATAATAAAATGTCAAACTACAGGTACAAGGTAAAGATCCTTCAGTTGATATTACTCAAGATATTGTGGAAGAATCAGAAGATGAACGTTTTGATGATGTTTCTGATTCAGCTCCTCCTGTTGAACTTCCTCCATGTGAACTTAGTAGATTAGATGAAATTAGTGAATTAGTGAGTAATTGTATCCCATCACCAATCAGACGTGAAAGACTTGCTATGGCTTTAGAATCCGAAAATTATATCAAGAAGTTGCTTGAAGTTTTTCATATGTGTGAAGATTTAGAAAATATTAATGGACTTCATCAACTTTTTGAAATATTCAAAAACATTTTTATGTTAAACAAAAATGCACTTTTTGAAGTAATGTTTTCAGATGACACTATATTTGATGTTGTTGGTGTATTAGAATATGATCCAGTATCACCTGTACAAAAACGTCATCGTGAGTACTTACGGAATGTGTCAAAATTTAAGGAAGTAATACCCATATCAAATCCAGAATTGGTGAGCAAAATTCATCAAACGTATCGTGTACAGTACATTCAAGATGTTGTCTTGCCAACTCCTTCTGTGTTCGAAGAAAACATGCTCTCAACATTAAGTTCATTCATATTCTTCAACAAAGTAGATATTGTGTCTTTACTTCAGGTATGTAATACAATACTATTTTATTATCTAATATGAGTTCTAAATTAAAAATAAATTGTTTCCAGATACCAGATACTCCAAATAAAAATTGTCAAGTGCTGCAAATAAAGATTGTTTTCAGCACTTAACAATAATAATATGTTAATTAATTATCAAAAGTATTAGTGAATATATGTTTTTAGTTTATAATTTTTGAGTAAATATGGTTATTTTTAATACCTCAAGATAGTTTAATTTATACCAATATGTAATAATTATTATGTCCATTATAACTTTATCTAAAGAAAAGTAGCTTTTATTTAAGGAAAATTTTCTTGAATAATATATTTGTCATTTGATTTTTTTTGTAATTCTTTTTAATTTTTATGATTTTTTTTGTTTTTTATTACTATAAAAATGTACTGAATTTGCTTCCTGTTATTGTAATGATTTTCTTCCAATACACATTTAAATGGAGTATTTCTAGTGCATGTTCTGCAATTTGAAATAACCTGATCCACTGTGTGTTTCTAAAAGAAGTGATAATCAGAAAAGATGAAAATATTTTGGTCATTAATAAAAAACAATAGTTAAAGGCTGATTCAAGCTAGGCAAGCACAGTATTGAAGATATGCTGTAAACATATAAATTAATTATGGCTATAATAATAATAATGTATATCATAAAACCATGATAGAAAACAATAAGATTATTTATTATTACTGTAATGCAATTAGAATTTTTAATGGTGAAGTGATATATTGGTTTTTGGAATTTGAATTGGTTTATTTGCTGTTGTGTGAGCTACTAAAGGACTGCGTCAAAGAAGTAATTGAATAACTAGCACAAGTTTCTCAGAACTTTTAGCAATTGAATAGTTGTAGATTTTTGTATTCAAATACTCCCATTTTTAATTGAAATGACTTTGGATTAAGCCTAGTTATAAAAATTTTTATATATGTAATAGTAATATTACTATAAAAAGGAACATTTATGTGGTATAGTTTATGTATTTAAAAGAAGGAAAAATTGTTCAAAACAAAATCCTGCCAAACAGAAAAAAATATTTGTTACCTATTCTGATTTACACTAGTTTTACTGTATTAATAAACATAATATAGATTTCATTGCAAACTCTATTTGCTGTCTCATTTTTCATTTGTTGATACTGCCGGATTTCTTTTTCTTTCTGGCATCCACTGTTGTAAAAGAAAGTATTTTTAAAACCTTAGATGAAGAATTTTAGCAGGATTTTAAAAAAACAATAAGAAGCTGATAATATTGAAAAGCATTTAAGTATTTCTTATGTTTAAAGTAAATTTGGTTGAAACAGAATACATAAATGACGACTATTTTCGTAAAAATTTCAAATAAGTATCTTAATACTATTATAACATTTTCTAAAAATTCGATGAATATAAATATGAACTTCATCCATGACAATCACTTATGTAAAAGAATGAATACAATAGAATTCTTATGTATATGAGAAGTTCTAAAATATTAACTTAAATCCAGGCTTAATCTGTATTTTTTACATAGATTTGTTTTATTTCATAATTAGTCATTGTAATCAACTCTGTGACCATAAAAGTATTTGTATATATTGAGTGTGGCAATCAGGTCTAAACAAAGCATTCAATCATAAAAACAATGCTTTCATTAGTGCAAAAATCTGCTAATTTTCTAAAATTATTACAGAAAATCTTTGTTTAGTAATGAGTTGGTTGGAAACCTTTGGTGCATGGACTCTACCTGATGCCAAACAACCTGTATTCTTAACTGCATCTATACCTGTTTTGTCACGTTGGTGCACATTTCATGAAGGAGCAGGTGACATTCTTACCACATGTTCCAGCAAATACCAAATGTGTTCAATAGGGTTGCAGTCTGATGTGTTTGGAGCCAAGGCAGTATGTAGAATTTGTTGTGTTCTTTCATCCATTCTCAAGTAAGCCTCAGCCAGTGACACTGTGTATTATCATGTTGAAACATGGCACTGTTGTCAGGAAATATAGTCTGGAGATACAGGTGCAGGTAATCATGTAACAGGTCCCTGCATCGTTCACAATTCAAGGATAGTGGAATGATGCCAATGATCCTATATATTGCCAAGAAAGAGAACTCTCCACAGATCATGATACCCTCACTGCCAGCTTATGTAACTTCCAACTGTTCAACCAATACCTGGTGATGTGGCTTCGTGCTGTTTATGCAAGATTAGGACTTGGAAATTAGCATTGTTTACCAGGAAATGGGATTCGTCACTCTGCATACCCCAGGTCCAATGATATCTTTTCCTCACCCATGTGATGTGATGATGCATGGTCAGCAGAGGCACCTGTGCAAGTATATGGCTATTGAACCTTAGTCAATGTAAGATGTGTTTTGACAATGATGACACAACATATCTGCCTTGTCCACTGTTATACTGACAGTAAGCTGTTTCACTGTGGCATGTCTTTGTTCAGATACCAGTGATTGATTCCAGAGGTGAATACCTGTGGGATCAATCATACATGGCTGGCTGCTACAGTGTGATCTTCTTCTGGATGTTTGTGTGTGGTCCACCCACTCATGGTATACCCTGGACACAAGAGTTAGAGAACAATCAACAAGTGCAGCTGTTTTGGAAATACTTGCACTAGTCCTCCAGGCTCCAAATCTATATATATAAAAGTTGTCTAATATGCTGTAAATGGCAGTATGTAATTATGTTTTTAATTATAATAATTATAAATCAAATTTCCAAGAAAAAGTTTTTAAATTACTTTACATAAATCTTTTTAAACAGGATGATGATAAATTCCTTAGTGAGCTGTTTGCACAATTGACTGATGAAGCTACAGATGACGAAAAAAGGAAAGATCTTGTATTGTTCTTAAAAGAATTTTGTATGTTTTCTCAAACTTTACAACCTCAGAGCAGAGAGTCATTTTTCAAGGTATAATATTTTATTTTGTAGAATATTTAACATTTTATATTTTGATAAGATTCTGTTAAATTTGTCATTATAAATAAGTTAATGCTTTATTGTAATTTGCTTTTATAATAATGTACAATAATGTGTAATTTTACTCTTACTGTTTTTTTCCCTCCCTCTTTTTTATAAGCAATCATATAATAGGTATTCATTCACCAAGTTTTGAAACTAGTACAATTTCTGGTTAGAAATATTTGATTAAAATTAAAACTCCAGAACCTTTAAACGTCCAGTAGTAATCAATTTACTAATAAACAAACGTTTTCGACCGTACTCTCGGTCTTCATCAGGTTTAAAATCAGATAGTTTGGTGTATTTATTTATATATATTTATATAATTGTATGTATTACATATGCAATTCCGTCGCCATGGCAATGCACATGCATAACTGTATTCTTCTAAAATCCGTTTGTGCTGTTCCATTTTTCAAATTTAATTTCATAATCATTGTTCTATGCTTGCACAGGTTTGAATCTAACTGATTTTAAACCTGATGAAGACCGAGAGTACGGTCGAAAACGTTTGTTTATTAGTAAATTGATTACTACTGGACGTTTAAAGGTTTTGGAGTTTTAATTTTATATGTTTCCAGTATTCATGTGAGAAGATTTTAGAAATATTAGATTACACTAAGAAATATGTATTTAAAAATTAAGTAAAATTTGCTTTCTTTGGATTAAATGAGAAAGAAATAACTTAATCTAATGTTTTTGTTTTTCTTCAGTCTTAAAGAAAATGTCTAGTGAATATAAAAATTTAGAATGTAAACAATATATGTATTGTTATAAAGATGGGAAGGAAAGAAATATTAATACATAGCAATTATAGGAAAAGTTATAGATGATCATAAAAACAATTTAGGAAAAAAATAACAAAAATGCGTAGTAATGATGAAAACATTTTTGTCTTTTTGTAGTTTTACAGCTGGCGAGCAAATGGAGTCTTTTTGGTTCATGACATTATATGAACAAAAAATTGCTTTTATTTTTTTTAAATTTCTGATTTGAGTTTCATAATCTTATTACAGTGAACTTGCCTTCAAACAAATACTGATAAAGTGAATTATTGCATTAAAGCAAATTTTGCCATTGCCCTGGCAAAATGCCAATTGTCACAATGTTAATTTTCACATTATAAAGAGAACAAAAATTTTACCAGAATTTTTAAACTAAACTGTAAATTACTTTTACTACCTTCAAGAAATAACTCTATTTTCAATAATGATTTTATTATTCTCCTCAAAAAGTGTAAAAAGCAATGGTACTATAATAAATGGTCTATTTTAAGGAATCAAAATTGCCAACAACCAAAGAATCAAAACCAATTTTGACAAGGTTTATAAATGCCTGGGCATTTTAGTGCTGGACAACATAAATAGCCAAGTAAAGCAAGCAGTCAGCAATGAACACACAAAGAGTCAGCAAAGTTTTAAAACCAAACTGAATAGCAGCAATACAATAAAGGCCATACCAATTATAAAATACACTGCTGGCATCGTAAACTGGATCCAAGCTGTTTTGGAGACTCTAGGTTGCAAATCAAGAAAACTTATGACAATTCACTAAGCCAGGGTTATCCAATTTTTTTCCTAATGGACCAAGTTAGAAATTTAGATATATTCAGTAGGCCACAAAGGTACTTTCTATAAATATATGCTTTTAAAAAGTTTAAAATGTGAATATCAAATTTCAATAACAAATATATATAATTACAAAAACTACTGTATTAGTGACAGTAAAAAAGAAATTATACTCACACAAAATAAAAATAAATTCAATGCAATTTTTGACATTGCCTTCCTTTTATAATAATGTCAGTATCTGCTTTTATGATAGTAGTCTAAATTATAAGAATGTTAGTTAAATGGGAATCACTCAACCTATTTCTTTCAGCAGTTTTGATGTTTTTCATACACAAAAAGAATTGTTTCCAATAATATGTACTACCCCACATGCATAACAGTTTATTAGCATCAATTACATCATTATGACATCAAAGTGTATCCAGTGAAACAACAATAATTTTTATGACATTTACCAAAATAAATGAAATTTGTACCTAAAAAATTTAGGATGCAATGGGCTGCAGTTAAGCCTGTAGGACACATGTTGGACATCCCTGCACTATGCATTATATCCTCATAATGACACTGACAGACTGTACCTACCCTGCAGAACTGGGAGTAGAGGTTCATTGCAAGTGAGACAAATTGTTGAAGAAGAAAGAGACATGTTGGCTGATTACATTGGAAACAGTCAACAACAGACACCAGTATAAGTAAAAAATTGAAATTTGTAGAAACATTCAAGCTACAAAACATGAGTAGCATAGCAACATCTCAAAAGAGCAAATAGAAAACTGGCAAGGCAAAGCATTGCAGTTTCAATTTTAGACATCAAAGGAAAAGATGTCATTAAAACTTGGCAATGGTTAACATCTGGAACACTAAAAAAAAAAGGAAACTGAGGATCTATTTCTAGCTGCCCAAGATCAGGTGATCAGAACAAATGCAAATTGTGCAAAGAAATGGATGAAAATATGGACCATATCCTCAGTTCATGCAAGAAGATTGCACAGACTGATTACAAAAAGCAGCACAACATAGTTGCCAAAATGATCTTTGCAAAAATAACAATTTGTCTGCTACTAAGAACCAGTGGGAACATCAAATTGAAAAAACTATACTACACCAAACATAACCATTGTGAAAAAGAATGTGTGCATGATTGACATTACAATACCTGGTGACAGCAGGGTTGAAGAAAAAGAACCGGAAAAGATCACAAAGTAACAAGATATGAAGATTGAAATATGACTACTATCATGGCACAAACCAACAGCATACTGGGCACTGTTCCTGAAAACCTGGGGCACACTTTTAACAACTCAACATCAGTAACAACTCAACATCAATAAAATCAACACTTGTCAACTGCAAAAGGCCACACTGCTTGGATGGTAAACATCTTACATCAATACTTCATGACATCCTAAGTTCTTGGGAAGAACTCAATGCAGATGAAGGCCAACATCAACCAAAGAACTGGCCTTTTTGATAAAACAATAATAATAACAATAATAGACAGAATTACTCTTGTGCATTCCAGAGTTAACTTAACTGTTCATTATCTAAAAACAGGAATCCATGTACTGCATATCATTTCCTTCTGAAACAAGACTGCTGTAATTTAAATCTTTATATCCAATATTAAATTCAATATACTTTTATAGCATGTTAATATTTTTTGTTTCTTCCAGAAGAACTTCAATTTGTTTTCATTAACAGTTTGTTGTTTTTACAAGAACATTTAATAATGATTACAATATTACCTAAAATGGTTGACAAATAAACAGTTTGAATGCTACTATGAGCATTGTTTGAATTTTATGCTTGAAAAATTTGTTTCTTTTCTTTATTTTTCTTATCTGTTAATATTTTTACATGTAATTATTAAAAATGCAATTCACTAGTTATTCTTTCAAATTGATGTTTTCAAAGAATAGAATACTGTTTAAAGAAGCCAGTATTACTTTATTCTTTGATTTAGAAATTTTTTAGTATAAAAAAATTAACTCAAAAATATATTTGATAATGATAAATTATTATAATTTCAGACGTTATCAAGTTTAGGAATATTACAAGCACTGGAAATTACGCTTGTGAGTACATTTTATAATTTTTTGATGATAAAATTAATTTAATTACTGTTGACTTTTTGATATTGAAATTAAAATTTAAAGTTGGCATAGTAGTAACTGATAGTGTTAATAAGAATGTTGAATATCATTGAAGCAGAAACAAATATCTTTTTTATATCATATTAATTATATCACCACAAAATTCATAACTTTACAGTTTTTAATTCTTTTAGTTATTTAATTAATTACAACCATGACTTTTCAGTTCACATTCTCTTTGTAAATTGAAATTTCTTCTGATGAGGGAGCCAAAATTCATGAAAATATTTCTAAAAATTATTAAGACTGACTTCTTTCAAGCAAGTGATAATTTTGTTTATTGACATATAATGATAAATATCAATAAATGTATTTAAGGTAATGAAATTATAACAATGATTGTGAAAAAATAATGGTCTCTCTATTTGAATGACAGATACAGTAATACTGAATAATTAACAAACTATCAGATTTTTGCACACTTCAATATAGGTTCTCAAGTTGTCTTGGCTAATCTTGTTTTATTACGAGTATAATATTGCCCACATATTTTTAAATGTTAATATGACAGATGGTTCAAAATAACATCGTAAGGAACTGCAATGTGTTGCATAAAAGTTAAATGACTAAAAACTTTTGTTCTCGGAGGTAATTTGAATTCTCTTGGTTGCAAAATTGATAACTAATAAATTAAATTATTAATGTTATTGTATTTATTTAATATAATAATTGTTTACTAAGTATACTTTCAATTTTAGAGTATGGATGATATAACAATTAAAACAGCTTCTATCGACATATTGTCCTATGTTGTGGACTTCAGTCCGTCCATGGTTCGAGAATATTCTATTCAACAAGTGAATACGCAAGATGATGTAAGTATCAAAAAATTTATTAAATATTAATTATACAATCAATGTGAGTATATAATAATAATAATAATATAAATGATGGAATTATTTCATGTTAACAAATAACAGAATTTAACAATGGAAATTGGAGAGAATTTAACTTCTCTCCAATTTTCATTGTGACTGTTATATATTGATCAAAGTTGAAACAAAAATTTTTTTATATATTAAATGTTTGTGCCTTCAGAGAAATAAGAAGTGATGATAATTGACATGAAAGACTTTTATGATTATTACTCTAAAATGGAATGAATTTTTAATAGAATGATATATGTGAACCTATATAAATGCTATGATATAAGTTTGTCAGTGAATAGATTATTGTTTTTTCATTTTTTATTATTTATAAAATGTGCAAAAGCTGGAATTGCACAGGGCTTGTAACTTTTTCAATTAAGCAAGTTTTCCATCTTAGACATGCTAGAATAAGAAAATGATCACTGCTTCAAAATGTGAATATAATTTTTATAAAAACTCATTCTATGAAAAAACATTTGTTGAAGTAAATTCAAAATAAAAGGAAAAGTGTCCAGAAAATGAAATACACATTTATTTACGTGGTGTGTTCAAAAAGTATTGGACCTTTGGTCGGCAAAAATAAATTTATTGACTTTGAGATACAAAACCCTAATCCCCTTCAAAGTAGTGTTCAAATTTCTTGGTAATGTATACACTTCTCCCAGCGTTCCTGCCATTGCTGGAAACACTTCTGGAACGCATCTTTTGGAATGGCCATCAGCTGGTCCGTCGGATTCTGCACAATGTCTTCTCTCGACTAAATTCGGGTTCCTTTTAGCGGCATTTTCAGCTTGGGAAATAGCCAAAGGTCACACGGAGCCATGTGGGTAGAGTACGGAGCGTGACGAACCACAGGAGAATTGTGTTTAGCGACGAAAGCCCGAATCAGATGCGCAGAATGGGCGGATGCGTTATCACGATGGAGCTGCCAAGTTTTGATCCGGTCGTTTGTGTCGCACTATCGGAAAGATGATGAAGGACCTCCTGGTAGTACTCCTTTGCGATGGTTTGGCCTCGTGGTGCGTACTCACGGCACACCACCCCACGAGTCGAAAAAACTGTCAACATGACCTTTGCTATTGCTGCGCTTTTTTTTTTACCTCGATGATCGTCCCCGAAAGTCTGCTGAATCTTGCGAATGGTTTACGCTTGGGTATCGCCAAGGTTTTTGGCAAAATTTGATGTAATATCGCTGCTCACGTTGTTCAGTCATTTTCCAGCTTAGTGGAATCCGACGAGAGCGCACTACATGACCTCACTCATAGGCCGATTGCCAATGACTGACGCTTTCTGCAGGCGGGAAAAAATTCAGGGCTATGCATGACTGTCCCCTCCACAACTCCACCGAAGGAGGCCTCTCGCGCATCATTGGTTTATGCGGAAAAAAAAAGGTCCGATACTTTTTGAACAGACCACGTATATATTCTCAACTGAAAAATGGAGTGCATGCCAAATGTATGTTCTAAATAAAACTAGTGTGTTTTTTAAAATTTACAAAATTTAACCTATTCCACGTTGAAAGTTTTCTCTGTTGCATGTGGCCACCATGTTGAATTTTTGCCGACGTTAAGTCTAATGAAATTTTTTTTTTTAAATAATCATGGCTATTGTATCATCCGAAATTATATTTTGGAAGTTAGTTTTGATATAAAATTTATAACAACTAGTGACATCTAGTTCCAAAAATGTATCGATACTGTAATGAGATATCTCAGGACAAATGCTCGAGGTCAAAGGTCATGACCCCAAGAATTGTCGAGAATAACACAGGACAGGTTAAATAAATTGAGCAAAGTAGACAAGTCTTTTTAGTCTTCATTTAGTCTTAAAGACAAGTCTCCATAGGTGTCTTTTGCTGTCTTTTTTCATGCACTTGAGAAAAGTTTTAAATTTTAAAAAAATTTAATTGTCCTGGCAATTTTATTAAAACTAGTATATGTTTTCTCACTGAAAATGTTGAGTTTTAGATGTTATGTTGAGTAATAGACGTTCTTAAATTTAAACTTGATGCTCTCAAGCTCTCTTTGCATTTGTCTTAGTTGTTATTAATTTTTAGGGCTTCTGCCAAAGTCAAATAAAAATTAAGTAGAGCAAGTTTTTTTTGTGCACTGAAAATTTTTCTGTTAAAGTGTAGCTAATTAGAGAAGTCTCTCACAATGTTATACACTCTATTTAAAAGCCTATATTGATTTAAAGAATGGTGAATCTCTTCCTTGGCACATTTAAGAACCAAACAATATTTAAATCTAAATTTGTTATAGGATTTATTGTACATATTTGAGTTTATCTATTAAAGTGTACTAGTCATTAATATATTTTACAAGATTCTGAAGAAGAAAAATATATTTTACTTCATTGTTTGAAATTAGGCTTTTGTTAATCATATTAACTGTAGTTCATGTATTGTATCATTATACTTACATAATGTATTTTATGAATTTGTATAAATTGTTATTTAAACTATTTCTTAAAATTCATCATTGTATCAGCAAAATAAATATCAGTAGATTTTAATTTCATTCCTAATATTTTAGTGGCAGACTTTTCAATTCAATACTTGTTTAAGCTTCTCTTTGAGAGATTTTAACAAATGAATTAATAACAGAGGTAGAACTCTTAAAGCTTTCTATTTACATCTTACAGGTTCTGCTTTAGTTAAAATATTTTGTGAGAAAATTTAGACAGTAATGACAAAATACTGTATTTACTCGTTTATAAGATGAGGTTTTTATTAATTTTTCATTGCTTCAGAAACCAGGGTCATTCTATATGTATGAGCGAAGGATTCTCTGCATTTTTGTAATAATTTTTGTGAACTGTGTATATGCATTTTTTTACCGGATGTTTAGCCTTTGAAGTTTAAAAACAAAACTATTATCTGGGTTGGATGAATCATTCTTGCGTATTGTCAGGAGTAAAGATGATTAGCAATAAGAAAAGCAAAGCTTTTAAATTAAACTTCAAATTCAAATTCCAGAAACACACGGGAGCTCGATATAAGTTTTAATCCATTCCCATGAAAAGAGATGATTATTTAGAAATCAAAATTTAGGGAAACTCGTAAGTGTGGATTAGACTAGTAAGAATTGGCAAAAAAGATTCCTGATTGTCCAGCTTTACAAGAACAAATTATTATGTTGTCGATTTTACTAAATTTTTCTTTAAGTTTAAAATGCCAGTAATTTTTTCAAAACAATGTGTGCATTTACGTGCATTTGATAATAAAACGAATTAAACGAAATAAAATTAGAATTCAAGAAATAGCATATATAAACATGTTAAGAAGTTTTGTAAGAATGTAAAGTGATTTTAAAATTTAATCTTTTTGAAAGCAAAAAGTATTTTCTTTAGTAATAAATAAATAAAATTAAAATACTNTGTTGTCGATTTTACTAAATTTTTCTTTAAGTTTAAAATGCCAGTAATTTTTTCAAAACAATGTGTGCATTTACGTGCATTTGATAATATTTTATTTATGATTAAACGAAATAAAATTAGAATTCAAGAAATAGCATATATAAACATGTTAAGAAGTTTTGTAAGAATGTAAAGTGATTTTAAAATTTAATCTTTTTGAAAGCAAAAAGTATTTTCTTTAGTAATAAATAAATAAAATTAAATAACGAATTGTTGNAGTAGTTTAAACCCTATCTGTTACATTTTCTCCCTTTTATAATCAAAAGTTGAAAATATTTTATCTAAAACATGAATTATCATATTTGAATACAGTGGACCCGCCCTATAACACTGTTGATAATTCCATTTTATATGAATTCCATGTTGTACGAGTCACTTAGATTTTACAAATATATGTGCCAGGCTGTGAACAGCTCACGTATTTGTAAAATCTAAGTGACTTGTACAACATGGAATTCATATAAAACGGAATTATCAACAGTGTTATAGGGCAGGTCGACTGTATCTGTCCAGATTTGTATTGTAGAATGCCAAGGATATTTACATAAATTATAATCTTAGATAGTGATAAATTTTAGTTTATATAAAGTTTAAAACATTAATAGTAAAACACAGAATAACTAAATACATTGTCTCCTATAATACATAAATATTTATCTTTTCATTATCTGTTATATACATATCTATGTGATTTTCTTCATAACATTTTCCTTTAGTTATTAATGAAGATATTTACATAATTGATGAGGCATTATGAAAATTTTCAAATGTGTATATATAATAAAATTTCTATCAGCAAACTGGGTTACAAAATTTTTTTATAATATGTTTGTTATTAAATTTTTGTTATTTAGAGTTTTATTATTTTTTAAAAACAATGTGATCATAAGCAAATAGTAAATGCATATAATTTGTCATTATTTTTATGATGTTTTGTATAATTTTAGTTTGAATGATAAATGATGTAAAAAGAACACAGGCATGATAAAAATGCAAAATACTACTAAGTATAAAATTAAAACTTAGAATGATTTTATAAATTATTATAAGGTAACAAATCATAAAGAAGTGTAGTTAGAGTTCTGAAAGTTACTTCAGAAAACAAATATATAGTGTAGTTTTAATGTTTTAAATCATCTGTACTATGACTTTGTTCATAACTACAGATAAAATACATTACTGAGTAGTCATAAACTGTTTTTTAAATATTAAATTACATATTGCATGAGAAGGAAAGATGTAGAGGAAAGAATAGAATGAGATAATCATAAAATTAATAAAATATTTTCTATTTTTAAATTATATTAAATAAAAACTATTCAAACCTAAATCTTGAATAATTCTGTTGTATTCAATTATATTATTATTAGGAATTTTAAAAATATATATAAATTTCATGTATCGAATATTAGCTAAAATTTATTTTTGTTTTTAATTATGCTTTTTGAAATTAATTAATTAATATGAAATTTTATATTTTGTTGGTATTATGTAAATGCTTTTATACTATAATCATAAAAAGATAAAAGTAAACATTTGCAATAACTATAAAATTGATATTATGTATGCATATGAGCAATATAAAGTGTAAAGAAAGTTGTGTGTTAATGTGATATATTTAATTATACAGAAACATATGCTGGAGCAAGATAAAATATTTTCAAAATAATAACAGGAGAATCACTAGTGAAATTTGCTTTTTGCAAGGACTTAATAGTCAAATGATGAAAAAATTTCTATACACAATTAATAATAAATGACAAATCTAGTTTTGAAGAATTTTTATTTTTTAGAATAGATTCATCATTTCTTATAAAATTATAATGATAGTTCTTTTTAAAATTAATGTATTAGAAGTAAAACAGAAACTGGTTATAAATCTAGAAAATAGGAAAGATTGTCTTACATACTTTTTATGAAAATTAATAATATTTTGTAAAGATTTATTATATTACCTTATTATTTATAGTTGATACAATGAACATTTATAAGATATTCAAACTGCTGGTAAAATTTAATACTAAATGTATTTTTGTAAATGTAAATTTTTTTCTGTAAATTTATGCATAAGAATTAACTTTAAAAAACTGTACAGTAAAATCAGAATAACAACACGGTTAATTAATTTTTAAATACCTAGAAAAATGGTTTTAGAGAACTATTAAGATTAATTAATTATTCAAGTGTTTTAAAATATTTCATTTATCTTCTAGTAGATTTCAAGTGATACAGAAGTATAATTATAGAACTAGAATTGAAAATGCTTGTCCAAATATTAATTAATAAACATTAATATCATATGAATAAATTTAAAATATTGCAAAATTAATAAAAAATGATCACAGAATAACATATTACTATTTTTAAAGAAAATTCAGAAAATAAGAGTTTTTCTTATGCATCAAATTTGATTTTATTTAAAATTATTCAATTTTTTTAATATTATTACATTTAAATGTGGATTGTCTGACTTCAGTGTTTCCTTATTGTAGTGATTACTGCATAACTTAAAAATTGTTAACTGATATCTCCCTTATCAGCCATGTTACATATTCACTATTTCACAACATTAAATATTACTTTAATACTTTTTATTACAATTAAAATAACTCTTAACATAACTGTTTAATTTTTTAGTTCTTCATTTAGTCATATTTTTCATTTAGATCTTGTAAAATTCATTGCTTTCTGTTTAAGTTTTTTTTTTCTTAAATTAGTGCAAAGTGAGAAATTTCTGTGAATCCTATTACAAACAAGAATGAGATGAAACAACATAAATACATAGAAGCAACTTCTGATATTATTTGAAACAATTAAAAAACAAAGTTTCCATCTGAAATTGCATTATATTCTGTTTATTGTGAAAGTTAGGAGATAAAGCAGAATTATTCAATGTGTATAGTCTAAAGAAATTTAATGTTACAGAATAATTGAATAGCATTAAATTGATTAAAATTTTATTATTTAAGAAGTAAGAAAAATGTGCATTCATTGCATTTATCTGAAATTGAATTATCATCATCATCATCATTATTATTTCAGGCTGTTTTAGAATCATTGCATTATTGAATTATATTTTTCTAATGGTCAAATTAATGATGTAAATTTGAATTTTATAATTTGGTTTTTGTTAATTATATGAATGATTTTAAAGTTTCATACGTTTGAAAAGTGTATGAATGTTTAATTAATTAAAAATTAACAGTATTTGACAGTAATTTCTTGAATATAATTTGTGATTATATAAAATTTTTATATATTTTNATTTTAGACATAATTTTTCAGTATACGGAGTATTTATTGTTAAATTGCCTAAATTATCTACAAAAAGCTTTTATTGTATTCTAAAATTAATTGCTGAACTACATTTAGCATATTTATGTAATTTTAGCTGAATCTGATAAACGTTATTATATTTATAGATATACAGTTGAACCCCGTTTATCCAGCTCAAACGGGACTGAACCCAATCCATATGACCAAATTTCTGATAATTTGGAAAATTTGTTAATGACATAAAAAACATAGTTTAGATATGCATTATACTATATTTATTGCACATTATATATACTTTTGCAACAATATTAACAGTATAAAGCAAAAAACATCTACATACAGTATTAGATGTTTTATATCAGCTGATACAATACAGGTACATAAGTTTCCTAACCATTTGTATGGGAGTAGAACTTCTCTTTATGACTTTTTTTTAAGTTCAACCAGCAATTAGACTTAGTGCTCTGTAGGGAAACCAAAGGATTAATTTGAACCTAAGTAATTGTGATATACTGTACTGTATTCATTTATGCTACCAAATCCTTGGTTATAAAGTCACAGGTGTTCAAAATTGGCATTCGGCCAAGGGAAAACAGTATTCTTACAGCTGCAACATTATACTCAAGCAAGAATGTACTACTAACAAGTTAGTTCTGTAATTTTTTCACATATATATTGATAAGTTTTCCATATGACTATTTTTCTTATTCTGGAGATCCAGATTAATGGGTTTTGGATAAGTGGGGTTTCATTATATTTTGATTAAATGGTTTTGTAGGTGGTAAAAACTGAATGTGGAGTTTGTCTTGAAAGATTACTAGTGAACATGTGGGTGATGATGATAATAATAATTCTTTGATTTAGTAGACAACAAACAAGTTTAATTGAAACTAATACAAATAATGATCAGCAATCTTATTTATGGCATGTAAACTTGCCAGCCAACTTTGTGTTTTGATGATTTTGTGCTATTATCTGCAGTTCATTTTATTTTGACATTAATTTTATTTTATGATGAGAAATTCAAAATATTTATCTATCATGTAATTTTAAAATTGGGCATTATTTTTCTGATATTGATTGTAAGAAATATGTTTGTTGAAGTAGCCAGTCTAAAATTTATTTTCAACTAAGATGGAGAAGTGAGATTACAAAATAAGTAATGAATAATCAATTTTGTCTTATAATTTGTTTTCATTTTTAGTTTTTTAAACAGGTTTTTTTACTTTATTAAGTAGAGAAATAATTATTACAAATATATATTGCAGTATTGAGTAATAAAGTTCATATTAAAATATTTTAATTTGCAGAGTTAGGAGGTGCTGTGCAGTTATCTGGTATATTAAGGTTATTATTAGATCCTGAAAATATGCTTGCAACTGTAAATGTGAGTAAATTACTTGCTTGAATTATAATTCACATTTATATTAATAAACAAAGTATTTATTTTGTTTTAAATGTTGATCATTAAAGCTTTGTTTCTATTAAAAAAAAGTATTTGAGCTTTAATGCTAAATCAGAAGTTGCTATAAATTTTTCCAATTGAAAAACTACTATAAATAGTTTATAATATATTTTGTTTTATTTGCAATAAATATCTTAATTATAAAAATATCATTTTATTATGCTTATTATTGGTTTTCAATATACTGATTGTCTAGATAAATGGGCATTGGTTTCATTTAAGATTAATATATGAATCAAATGTTACAATAACAGCATAAAAAACAAAAAACTTAAAAATTAAAATTACTTATATACTTTATATGCCATATAAACATAAAACAATACAATATTATACTATCACAAACATGAAATAACACTGGTATTTGAGCAAAACAAAACTCCTTAGTTCTTTAATTAATATATGAGATTGTCTTCATGTCTGTAACCATCTTCTAATTTAGCACATGCTTTTCAGATCTCTGTTCAATCAAAACACTGTAGAATGAGATCTTTATTTCCAAACATTTCTTCCTACAAAAAGGAGCTGTAGTCATAGTGTACTGTCTTTGAGTTTAGTATATATATGATCATAGCTATTCATTGTATTTCAATTATCCATTGATTTTTGAATTTGTTCTTTTTTTCCCATGTGTAGGGTAGACAAAAAAATATCTTGTTTCCCATTATATATTATTTATGCAAATTCGTACCTAATTTTTTTACTTTCTTATTTGTTGAAATCTAAAAATATTATAATTGACTATTTTCTTTATACTTAGACAATATTCTTTGTCATAGTTAAAATACCATTAAAATTGTTATAGGGAATTACACTATTATTAACAGTAGTAAGTAATGTTAATATATCATTGTCCCAGTGTGCATAAGAAAAGGGCCTATTATTTGTTTCATTTTCTTGCAAATGATTGATTATTAAGAATGGCCCTATGATATGCGCTGACACATATAATGATAAATAAAAAACAATAAAGCTTCTCATATAGTTGGTTTTGTAGCCAAACATACATAAACCAAATTTCACTGATACTATTTTATGCATTGAAATAAAGAAGAAAAAACATTTTCTTCTGATTTATATTTATTTCCAGTTTTTTGTAATTATAAAAAAAATTTATATATGAGAGAAGTCAGACATTCTTTTGAATATTTTATTAGCTGAAAATGTTAACACTGAGAACTGGAACATGTGTTTTGACAGCCACTATTGATTTTGAAGTTCAATTATTTGTTTTTATTGGTTTATCTTGTTTCTATTAGAATATGGATATAAAAAAAAACTAATAAAAATACTGCCAAAATCTAAGATTTGAGCACAATAAGAAATTCTTGCCAGAAAGAATATAGAAACATCACTTCATAAATTTCTTCTTAATTGACTGTCTTTTTTAAAACAGTTTGGACTAGTTATGAATGATTTGTTAGTCAAATTTCAAAGTATGGGACTGAAGTAGTAAAGTTTAAATTTTTTGAACAAAGAAAGTTTTAAATGATGTATTAAAAACTGTTTTATGAAAATTCAAATTAATAAAATAATAAAATTTTTAAACTAATAAAAATTATAAAATTTAGCATGATAGATGTAATGATTTATGCAGAATATATGTATTCTATTTTCTATTTTACCATTAATACATGTGATTATTAAACAACAACTGTTCCAAAAAACATGTTATGCTGTTATAATTCAATCATTAGGAATTATTTCACTTTGATTCTTCCTTTTTTTCAATAACAACTTTTTCATATTTTCCTTCTTGTGATAAACTGTTTATATTGGACAGTTTATTACAAGACTTTACAAGTATTGGTATCAAATTAATGTGCATATTCATTTTATTACAGTAAGTAAGTAATCTTTTATCAAATTGTGTCCTTATCTTGTTTAGTACGTAATTTGTCTACAAGGACATATTTTATTACTAGGACTTACTATAATGGTGACTTTGTTTTGCAATTTAAAAAAATATATCAGAAAAAAAAAACAGTTTTTATTTTTCACCTGAACACATGTTACACGATATTGTGTTTTGGACCTGTATGTCTCTCAACAGCAGGTTTATGAACAACAATTTCTAAAACAAAATATGAAATTACTACAAAAATTTATAAATATAAAATTTATAAATTTATATGTATTTAAAAATCAAAAAATTATAAGTTTTATTTCGTCTTTTATTATTTTACTGTTGGGAATTTTATAAATTTTTGTAGTGCAGTAAGATCCCGCTTAACGCCGATTCGATATAACGTGGTCTACTAGAAGCCTAAAAAAGCTCAAAATTTACGCTGATTTAAATGATCACGGTATTTCATTGATTCGTATATAATATGATTATTTGCGAACACAAACCAATCAGCAAAAAGTGGCAAAAAGATGTACTTTCTTTAAATCTATGTTTGTTTGGTGCAATTTTGGAAAAATATAACATCATGGATTCCATAGGAAATATCGACTTCAATTGGCAAAAATTAACTGATAAATGTATGAACAAAGTGTGGAAGAAGTTATGGCTGAAGGTATCCAAGAATTCTCAACGAGAAGAGCTTATCACTGTATTGTTAGGTTGACCAAACTCAACCTAATCGATATAGCAGAACTAGGAGATATAAATGAGCAGGATATTGAGGTGTTACAGTAGGTTTCTGGTGAGAGCCTTACCAACGACAATCATCAGGAACTGGAAAATAGTGATTCTGAAAACGAAGAACCCAAAAAATTTCTCTACAGATTTCGTTAGTAAAAGTTTGGTAAGAGAACCGAAATCGTTGATCAAATTGTAGCGAATGATCTAGATTTTGAAAAGAGTGCAAAAGCAAAACGAGGCATTTTTAGTGCGATCTTTCGCTACTGACATTTTCTTAAGGAAAGAAAAAAGTGACAAATGAAACTTCACAACTTTATTGGAAAAGAACAAGAATTTCAGAAAACTCAGGACCTTCATCACAAAAAATGAATTTTATATTTCTGTGTGCATATGTTTATGTATTATTTAACATATATTATTATGCAAGTTAATATAAAAATAACTTAGAATTAAAGTAAAAGTTTTTTATTTTTGGTTGCACGTACCACTTTCTCTATTTACTGCGTTAAGATGACCTCGTTTAACACTTTGTCATCTAGGAATACATCCTAAGCATAAAATGAGGTCTTACTGTAATAGTTTAAAATAATATAGCCACAAACAGTGGCACATTATAGCTTGTAAGGCCCAGGCAATTTTGAATTAGGGGACCTCTTGTACAGTATTGACTTCAGACATTTTTCTACAGGGAAAAACATTTTCTTATAAAAGATTACTTTGGGACCTCNATATATAATATATTGTTTTGCTGTTTTGATTTTTTATTTACATAGAAATCTGAAAAGACAGACTTCTTGAATTTCTTTTATAAACATTGTATGCATGTGTTAGTTTCACCAGTTTTAGCAAACACGGCTGAAGATAAACCAAGTAAAGGTAAGAATAATTTAATAGAATTTCATTTTTACGTCAATATTTCATTATGTTAAGTCCTTAATGCCTAGAGTCATGTAAGAAATGTTATGATATTAATTATAATTAACAAATAAAATGCTTTAAATTTTAATCTGTTGTCATATGTTAAATATTTGAAATTTTATGAACATGAAATTGATCAACTAATTTATTGTTTAGAGGAAAATTTCTCTTTTAACAAATGAGAATTATTTTGAATGATAATTAAGTAATTGGTAATTAACATGTAAATTTTATTGTTTGTATGTGAATATAAAATATACCTATTTGTTGCGTTATTTAGAAGTATCAATAATTTAGCCTTCATCATAAAATTAGGAAAAAATTATAATTAACTCTTATGTTATTAAAGGTGTTCTAAATGTGCTGAAACTAAATTAGTATATTATGAAATTTATTATACTTGGAAAAGAATGAAGATTTGTTTTCAAAAAATATATATTTTTTCTATAATGTGAAAAATATCAGTAAATTAATATGAAGTTTATCAAGATTTTTTTATTCTAAATTAATTTAAATGTTAAATACTGAGTTACAAAACTGATTTTTCATTTCTTGTTTTGATTCTTTAAGTATTTTAATATTCCATATTATTTGTATATCATTTTCTTTTGTTTATTTGTAAATGGTTACATGAATATTGCTGTTTCAGTTAAATCAGATTAGATATAGTGAGATTTACTGTAAGGAAATTATTTTATTGGTTTTAGCATGTATTTTCTCTGTTTAATGCTGGCGTTTATTTTATAATGTTATGCATGTATGTATGTATATTTATTCATTTTTATTTATACTTTGATATTGCTATTCTTTGTTATTTCATACTGTAGTCATACAGTAATTTCTACTTTTAAATTAAATTATATCTCTCCAGATTGTTTTGTTATATTAAAAATATTAATAATTAGTAGTTTAAACCCTATCTGTTACATTTTCTCCCTTTTATAATCAAAAGTTGAAAATATTTTATCTAAAACATGAATTATCATATTTGAATACAGTGGACCCGCCCTATAACACTGTTGATAATTCCATTTTATATGAATTCCATGTTGTACGAGTCACTTAGATTTTACAAATATATGTGCCAGGCTGTGAACAGCTCACGTATTTGTAAAATCTAAGTGACTTGTACAACATGGAATTCATATAAAACGGAATTATCAACAGTGTTATAGGGCAGGTCGACTGTATCTGTCCAGATTTGTATTGTAGAATGCCAAGGATATTTACATAAATTATAATCTTAGATAGTGATAAATTTTAGTTTATATAAAGTTTAAAACATTAATAGTAAAACACAGAATAACTAAATACATTGTCTCCTATAATACATAAATATTTATCTTTTCATTATCTGTTATATACATATCTATGTGATTTTCTTCATAACATTTTCCTTTAGTTATTAATGAAGATATTTACATAATTGATGAGGCATTATGAAAATTTTCAAATGTGTATATATAATAAAATTTCTATCAGCAAACTGGGTTACAAAATTTTTTTATAATATGTTTGTTATTAAATTTTTGTTATTTAGAGTTTTATTATTTTTTAAAAACAATGTGATCATAAGCAAATAGTAAATGCATATAATTTGTCATTATTTTTATGATGTTTTGTATAATTTTAGTTTGAATGATAAATGATGTAAAAAGAACACAGGCATGATAAAAATGCAAAATACTACTAAGTATAAAATTAAAACTTAGAATGATTTTATAAATTATTATAAGGTAACAAATCATAAAGAAGTGTAGTTAGAGTTCTGAAAGTTACTTCAGAAAACAAATATATAGTGTAGTTTTAATGTTTTAAATCATCTGTACTATGACTTTGTTCATAACTACAGATAAAATACATTACTGAGTAGTCATAAACTGTTTTTTAAATATTAAATTACATATTGCATGAGAAGGAAAGATGTAGAGGAAAGAATAGAATGAGATAATCATAAAATTAATAAAATATTTTCTATTTTTAAATTATATTAAATAAAAACTATTCAAACCTAAATCTTGAATAATTCTGTTGTATTCAATTATATTATTATTAGGAATTTTAAAAATATATATAAATTTCATGTATCGAATATTAGCTAAAATTTATTTTTGTTTTTAATTATGCTTTTTGAAATTAATTAATTAATATGAAATTTTATATTTTGTTGGTATTATGTAAATGCTTTTATACTATAATCATAAAAAGATAAAAGTAAACATTTGCAATAACTATAAAATTGATATTATGTATGCATATGAGCAATATAAAGTGTAAAGAAAGTTGTGTGTTAATGTGATATATTTAATTATACAGAAACATATGCTGGAGCAAGATAAAATATTTTCAAAATAATAACAGGAGAATCACTAGTGAAATTTGCTTTTTGCAAGGACTTAATAGTCAAATGATGAAAAAATTTCTATACACAATTAATAATAAATGACAAATCTAGTTTTGAAGAATTTTTATTTTTTAGAATAGATTCATCATTTCTTATAAAATTATAATGATAGTTCTTTTTAAAATTAATGTATTAGAAGTAAAACAGAAACTGGTTATAAATCTAGAAAATAGGAAAGATTGTCTTACATACTTTTTATGAAAATTAATAATATTTTGTAAAGATTTATTATATTACCTTATTATTTATAGTTGATACAATGAACATTTATAAGATATTCAAACTGCTGGTAAAATTTAATACTAAATGTATTTTTGTAAATGTANTGCTAGATTACATTGTTATCTTAAATAAGTTGTTTGAATTACATTGAATGAATAATATCAAACAGTTTATTGTGTAAGGATTAATAAATTTAAAGCAATGAATTATGTTAGCTTCTGTCTAAAATTTTAACTTGAGTTTTGTTTTATAATAGTATATAAAAGAAAATAAAATAGATAGAAAAATTATATATTGAAATACAGTGTGACCCCCAATTTATGAGTGTAATTTCTTTCTGTAAAGCTCTTGTAACCAAATTTATTGTCAAAATTTGTATCTCAGTTTAGCATAATACAGTTATCCGTATTCCTGAAATAACATAAAAATTATTTTCTTACCTATTATGAATTAAGTTAGTAAAATAGTATAAAATTAAAGAAAGAAAGGAATAAAGCCAAAGATGCAGATGTTTTTGCTTCTTTATACTAGAAATTTGGCTTTGTACTAGGCTTCATACAAGCAGTCTGTTTTATTTGGTTATATTTATTGTGAAGTGTATGAATGATTATTAAAATAAAATTATTTTTTAATTAATGAAATTGTAATTGCTGATAGAAAGATCTATAATGTAAGGTGAATCTCACTAACTTGCACAGCTATGTTTGGATGAATAGTACTATCCTTAATGAATGAAAAAAGAAAATATCAACTAGAATTTGTGGTATATAGTTTCAAAAAATGCACTTTTTCTGGTCTGAAACAAAATAGTTTATTTGAAACTAACCTCCAGATTTCATTCCCATTTTTATCCCTTCTTTCTGTTTTATGGTTGGTTTAAAAACTTGAGTCTTTTTTATCTCATAAATAGTTTGCTATATTGAATTCTTGTATATCAAATACTCATAGATAGGTGTCACACTGTAATGATTGTCATTGCAATTGTAACACCAGTTTATATTTAGGTAATATAATTGTATGTTTGTAGGATATTATTACCTATAGTTAATTAGTAATTTCTGCAGTTATATTATTTTATGCTGTTTTTGCATTATATGAATTTTTATTTTAGTTAAAAAAAAAAAAACATATTGGATATAATTTTGTTACAAATAAAATGTTATAAGAAGGATTCTGTAAAAAAGAATTTATTTTATGTTGAACTATATAATAATAATTTATGCTGTAACAGGTGATTTATGAATAAATGTCTTGTATAAACTTTAAAAAAAAAATTCACAGAAAAAGAATTCTTATTCATTTAATGAAAATATTTTATTGAAATGCTATCTTTTAAATTTTAATTTATTTGATATTGTTTTTATAGTATTTTACAAAAATTATAATTTACACATTATGGTAAACACATTACTCTTTTGATTAAAATATATGATTAGTTGAACAAAAATTAACTTGAATTAGAAATTATCATGATCAATGGTAATTTGTAACTAATAATTGCATACTATACAATTTAAATATATTGGCTTTACTGTACAGTTTTGTCATCTTGTAACAAGTTTCTGAATTGTAATCTATTGTAAGTGAATGCTATATTACAGTAAATATTGTTAATAGGAAACATTATGATATATTTTTTGATGATAATTATTTTCTTTCATTCTTTTTATTAATAGATAATATACTATAATTAAGTTAGAGATAGTTTTAAAAAGGATTAACAAATTTGCCATTAGAAATATTATATTTCAAATTTTATTTTAAGATTGTATCTGATTGATTCTTAGCTTTTCAATTCTTATCACAAAATTTTTTTATAATATGTTTGTTATTAAATTTTTGTTATTTAGAGTTTTATTATTTTTTAAAAACAATGTGATCATAAGCAAATAGTAAATGCATATAATTTGTCATTATTTTTATGATGTTTTGTATAATTTTAGTTTGAATGATAAATGATGTAAAAAGAACACAGGCATGATAAAAATGCAAAATACTACTANCTAAGGCAAAAAGCCTTGTTTTATTCTTTTTATAACTTGATTTGTTACATTTGCTATTTATTCTATATTTTGAAATACAGGGTAGCTTTAAAAAGTTTTCAGAATTCAATTTTACTATGGGTGATATTTTTTAAATGTTCCGGGAATGTTTCCTCTAACTAATTCCCTGTAACTGTTAATTTTTTGTTAGACACTGATGCTTGTTTATATTAAGCTAATTCAAATTATGAGTTGCTTGAACACATTTCCAAAAGTCGTTTTCTTTAAAATGGTGTTATGATTGCTTGGATGAACTTGCTGGCATTCTTGATTGTCTTCTAGAAACTTGT